CAGGGAACCCTGATTGCTCTTTGGGCTGATGAGGGGGGGGGTCTGGGGGGGGGGGGGGGAGGGAAATGGGAGGCAGTGGCGAGGAGGAGGCAGAAATCTTTAATAAATAAATAAATTAAAAATAAAAACAAAAAAATAAATAAAATGAAAAGAAAAATTGGTATGTGGAGCTGGGCTTACTACTGCATGCCTGTAATCCTGGGGCTGGCAAGGCAGCAGGATCTTTTTTGAGGCTTTCCTGGGTTATATAGAGCAAGACCTTGTGTCAAAACAAACATCAGTAGCAACACCCCCCCCCAAAACAAACAAACAAAAACCCCAGTGTAACCACCGCCAACAGCAACAAAAAGCAGTAATGCAGGCAGATTCTCCCATCCACACAGCAAGCTAGCATTATCATTGTAACCTCTGTGCCAGGCCCTGTGCTGACCTTTCCCTGCAGGTTAGGCTAATGAAAAGTTCCTGCTAGTGAAGAAGCTTTGTCTTGGGTGACAGCCTCCTGCACACACCTCACTATGGGTCCCAGTAATAAGCTCAATGGTCCTTGTCTTTGGAGTTTGGTGTGGCTGGATAGCCCTCAGGGTATCCTAATTATAGACCGGAATTCTGGTTGTGCCTGCACACTGATACAGTGCTGTAATACAGTGAGATATTTCTACTCTAATATCTTGTGATTTTAGAGGCAGCTTTATTTCTGCCTCTGCAGTTGTCACCTTTTTCTTTTGGGTACATCTCATGATGTGTGTGTGCCATTAATTCCCACAACTCTACTTTGATACCCCCGCCCTCCCACCCACAGTTTTAAAATAGTATGTATTACTGTTGCCAGTGTGGCTCGGTGCTCCAAACAGTGATGATTCAGGCTGGGGAAAGTAGGACTTCAGAGGATTGGGGGATTAATTGGGTTTTGACAGCTTTGCTGTTCACTGACCCTTCGTGGGCTGCCTTTGACCACAGTGGAACAGGGTGGGGCTGGATATGCTGTCCCGGGTATCTTCATCCCTAAAGCTGGGGTTTTTGTGAACATTCTGACTTGCCTTGTTAGCAGCCATTTGCTCAGTAAGTAGCCAAGAAGCTCCTGGCTCTGAAATGAAAGAGGTGCCAAGCTGGGGCATCAGATGGAGGCAGGTCTTATGCCTGCTCCTGTTTCCTTTCTTGGTGGAGAAGGTGTTTCCTTGTTCAAAGTCAGAAACTCCTGACACCAAAAGACACTGAGTTTGTCTCTGTTCAGTTTTCCTCCTGCCACTTAGTGCTGTGCGCTGACACATTGTTACTTATGTTACCTCGTAACAGAGATGCTTTTCAGATCCAAGAATATTCGACTACTTAGCCATCAGCTGAATTATTTGGATATAAATTCTGAGTAGTGCTCTTTAAAGTGTGTAATATTTAATGTTCATGTACGTGAAGTAAGTAATTGGGATACTTTTAAAGACATTTCCCAAAAGGTTTACAGTTAGAGTCATTTGTGGAGTCTGTTCTTTCCTTCCACCGCTACATGGGTTTGGAGATTGAACTTAAGTTGCCAGTCTTAAGTGACAAGAATCTTTACCTATCAGGAGCCTACCTTTTGTTTTTTATGGCTTCCTAAAATACCCCCCTCACCCCTTTGAAGACAAAGCCTCATGTTTCCAGGGCTGGCCTCAGACTCATTGTATGGTGGATGATGACCCTGAACTTTATTTTCCAAGTGCTAGTAATACAGGTACAGGCCATCATGTACAGTCTATGGATTGGGTGAGGATCAGTCACAGGACTTTGTGTGTGCTAGGCAAGTAAGTCCTCTACCAGCTGAGCCACCTCCCCAGACTGTATTCTCATTTTTTGATAATGAGTCTTTCTTAGATGTTTTGTTGTTATTTGTTTTGAGACAGGTTCTCATGTAGCACAGATTGGCTTCAAACTCACTGAGGATGACCTTTAAACCTCCTGATCATTATGCCTCTGCCTTCCATATGTTGATGCCTGACTTTCTTCAATTGTCTTTTTAAGATTGATTTTTATGTGTACTTCTGTGTATCTATGTTTATGAGTGCATATGAGTGCAGGTGCCTCCTGAAGTCAGAGGCATGAGATCTGGATCTAGAGTTGCAGGCTGTTGTGATCCACTCAGTGTGGGTGCTGGGAACCAAACTCAGGTCTCCTGCAAGAGCAGTATGTATTCTTAACCACGAAACCATCGCTCCAGCCCCTTTACTAGCATTGAGTATGCTGTGGTAATTCTGTTCAGGACAGGTAAGTGCCTCTTGATCTAATCCAGCCAGCTCATTCAGCCTTTGCACAAAGATCTCTAACTTTGGAGTCAGGAATCAGCTCCCCTGATAGCTTGTGCTGAATGACCAAAGCGGCCATTGTCCTTGTCTCTTGTCACAGATGCCAGTGAGATAAAGGTAGTGTCTCCTCTGATTATTATGATATATGATGATTTAAAAAAAAAATGGCCCTATGTGGCAACATCTGGTGTGAACTTAGCACGGCACAGGAGTTTTGTTGTTCACATCTCTTCTTGAAAGTAGGATAAGGTACGCTTTAATTAAGCTAGTTTTATTTAGAAATGTAATAAGAATGGCTGCACTACACTGTAATTACAGTTAAAGATTCCTAGTACTTGACAGAAAAACAAGACACGGGAAAAAGCTCACTTGTGTTAACTCTGTGGAGCTGTGACTAAAAGTGAGAAACTTCTCATGAGGAATTTTCCACTAGGGAAGCCTATTAAGTTCATTGCTCTAAAAAAAGAAAAGAAATTAAGATGGACTGGAGAGATGGCTCAGGGCTTAAGAGCACCAGCTGTTCTTCCAGAGTATCTGAGTTCAGTTCCCAGCACCTACAGGGCAGCTCACAACCTTCTGTGACTCTGGTTTCAGGGACCTGACACCCTCTTCTAATTTCTGTGGGCACCAGACACATTCATATGATGCACATTCATAATGCAGGAAAAACATGAATACACATAAAGACAATAAATCTTTTTTTTTAATTAATGTATATTAAAAACAGAGAAAAGGAACCTGAAGGTTGAGGTTGAAAACTTTGCTTGTTTTGGCTGTTCACTTTTGGAACAGCTTGATGACATCCTGTTATTCCTTGTGTAACATGGACCCAGGTTATTTTATTTGGCAGGCAGGAGTAGCAATTTATTGAGATAAAATTCACTTGGAAGATAGTTTGTCTGTCTGAAGTATTACCTGATTTCTGAAAATCTTTGCATAGTGGAGTTGTGTGACCATGACAGTAACCACCCCAAATGAAACAGCACACCCTTTCCCTCACTCTTGGCATTGATGTTTTACCTCTGGTCTCGTGACATCAGAATACCAGAGACTGACTCTCAGTTCTGGAGAGTAAAACCTGTAAAGTCACGGTGCTGGCATCTGGTGTGACCTTTTACTTTCCTCACATGGTAGAAGTCTGTAGGTAGGGGAAGAATGTTGTGTACTTGCTTGGCAGTGGAGCCAAGGAGAGAGATTCTACTCCACAAGCTCTTCCGTAGCTGTACTGGCTCACTGCTCAGGAGCCACCTGAGCTCCCTGGAGATGTCCACTCCCTGTCAAGTCTGTGTTTCCAAGCTCCGCTCTGAAGTCCTCATTGTGCTGCACAAGTCAGAGTCTTTTGGGCCTTGGTCTTCCTTTGAGATTTTATTTTTGCAGTGTAGATAGACAAAATTGACAAATGTCTGTGTGGAAGAGCCTGAGCTAATTTGAAGAAGAGTTGAACTCAGAGACACTAGGTAACCGTCAAAGACTAATTTGGCTTTATGTATGAAGAAACTGCTGAGTGTATAAAGCTGTCCCCTAGAGGCTGGAGAGATGGCTCAGTGAGCAAATGGTGGCTCTTTCGGAGGACCTGGGTTTAAGTCCCAACATCCATGTGGTAACTCACAACCATCTGTAATTCCAGTTCAAGGAGCTCTGATGCCCCTTCTGAGATATATGCCAACAAAACACTCATACACAAAATAATTTTTGTAATTAAAAATAAATAAAAATTAAACTATCTATCAGTAGGGATTGGCTGCCCAGTGAAGAACTTTCTAGAACTACATGCATTTTTAGCTGCTTGTGGATGTCCTCTTAAGATCTTTACACAGTGCTGTTCTGTACCTGGTGAGGATGGGGCTCTGAGGTTCTTCCATGTTGGAAACAGGCTGGCTCCTGCCAGAACTGATAGTTTTGTGGATTTTCTGGGGGTTGGATGGTTGCTTTTCAGTCAGAGTCTCACTATTGCATTTAAGCTGGTCTGAAACTCACCATCCTCTTGCCTTTGCCATTCCAATGTGGGGGGTTTACAGGCCTGGACCACCACATCTGGCTTTTGGGTTTTATGCTAAATAGTTAAAGAATGGCAGGATGAAGTATCTTCACTCTTCAAATGCAATCTTCTTTGAGAAATAAATTTCTAATATAAGAAGTCTGTTTACCCAGCCTGATAGAAAACTTAAATTTCTAAAAACTTTTGGATATATTTATTTTTGTTTGTATGAGTATTTTGCCTACATGTATGTATGCCTACCACGATCATCCCTGCTGCCCACAGAGGTCAGAAGAGGGTATCAAATCCTCCTGGAACTAGTTACAGATGGTTGTGAGCCTCCATACAAGTGATTGGAACTAAACCCAGGTCCTCTGCAAGAACAAGTGTTTTTAACCACTGACCCAAACGTTACATTTATTATACATAGAACACTCTAGTTAAGGTTGTGGACTCTGGATTCACCAGATCTTTGTCTAGGTGCCATTTTTATGACATCTAGTCTGTGGCCCAGGACAGTAACTTTAGCTTTCTTCAGCCTTCTCATCTGGAATTTGGGGTCAGGAGCAGTATTAGCTATTACTATTCTTTCTTTAGTGAGCACAGAAAAGCTCATTGAGTGCTTCAGGGTTATAATGATATAATAATAATTCCATAATAACTAATAAAATAATCTCATTGTTTCAGGGAGCGGGGAGAGATGTAGGTGGTTAACAACAAGTATAACCTCGTATTTAAATTTCTCTTAGAGGGAACACGAGAATAGAAGAGGCATGTGAAATGTATACCAGAGCCGCAAATATGTTCAAGATGGCCAAGAACTGGAGTGGTATGTACAACATTTTGTTTACTTATTAGGTAAATACTTTAAAACCTAATTTTGTAGGAAGACAGGACTGTGCATCCCGTTAAAGAGTGAGTGAGACTGTTGGTCCCAGATCAGGCGTTGGTGCTGAGAGGATCTTCATCTCAGGTAACTAACCTGGTTTCAAGGTTGACCATCAGGACAATGTCTCCCTCGGTTTCTACAAGGCCTGTGGAATCTGAAAGAAGCATTTCATGGACTAGAATTGTATTCCAATAAATACAATGCCATAATTATAGGAAAACTCATTGAGAAATAGCAAGATAGATAGAAATGCCTTAGCATGAGTTGAGAATTTCAAAGCAGTTCTCTACTCTGAATTCACTGAAAACGGAGTGGCAGCATAAGCCCCGTTAGCTCCACATTCTTTAAGTTAAGCCCTCACACTAAGATTCTTCTCCTTGTCTGAGGGGATTGTCCTTACTAACTAGAGAGAAAAATACCTGCCTTTCCCTTGGAAACTTCTATAGCTCAGATGGAGATGGGATCCTTATGCAGGTGAATGCGGAGGCATCCTTGGGCCAGAGAACATGGGTCTCCTGCTTGGCCAACAGCTGTTTTTACTAGCTTTTACTAGCCTCTGTTATCCATTGCCTGTAAGGCAGACTTTGTTTCAAAGGAGAAGATGCTTTTGAGCTAGGTGGATCTGAAAGGCTGATTCTGGCTCTGAAGTTCCTTTATCAGCTTACTTTGCAGTAGAGCTTTAGTTTAAAGGGAGATGGAAGGGTTTCAGAAGAACTTATGCCCACATTGTATTTTACTAAAGAACAAATGGAAGATAAACAGAATCGTCCCACCAGCCCATCTTTTCTAGTCAAGTCCTGTAATCACGGGTCAAGTCAAGTAATCTTACCCAATAGTGCTAGGAAATTCACCTGGAAAGGCCCCTGTCCTTTATGTAACCGTGGAGACCTTCCATGTACCCTGCCTCTGTCTGTTGCCAGGGTAGTGTAGGGTAGTGTCCCCAATTTCCCTGTGTTCTGCCCTTTCTCAGTTTTATATTGAGATAGTGTCTGACTGTTTAGCCCAGGCTGCTCTGGCACTCATTATAAGCCCAGATAGATCTTGTACTTAGAGCCGTCTTCCTCCTTCGTCTCCCAGGTGCTAGGCTAGTAGCATGTGCCACCCTGCTTACCCAGACAGTCTTACTGAGAGGTTCAGTAAGTCATGTCATGTATTGGGTTTGTACACTGACCTTCCAGGACTGTCTTCTTCCTTTTCTGAATTCATCTGCTCGTTCTCTGGGCTCCCACTTCAGAGCCTTGGCATGTGCTGTTTCCTCCCTCTGCATACTTTGCCCTTGTTCATGTCTTTCTTCAGGTCCAGCTTCAAATGTTATCTTCTCAGCCAGTTCACTTTTGACTACCCCTTATAGTCAGTAATCTTCCTGGAAACTCGCTACTCTTCACCACGGCTCACATTACCACCTAGCAAAAACATGGAAGTTACATGGTGTTTTAGTTCTTTATATTTGCGTGGATTTATTACATGGTGGCCCTCACTAGCATGTACTTTTGAAGGTCAGAGTGTTTATGTGTTTTCCGTTCTGACTGCATCTCCAGGGTCCACATTGTGTCTCTGATGCGGTAGATATTCAGTATATTTATTTGTTAATTGAATAAATAACCACAAGGCCCTGAATTGCTCTGGTGGTGATCATGACACAATTTTGTCTCTTATAAGTTTAAAAATTCTTTTATAATGATTGAGCTACTATACTATACTCTCATAATGATTCAGCCGCTATTCAAACTAAATGTGACACACTGGGTAGCCTCCCAGAGGTCATTCTCCTTAAGAACACTTCCAGATCGAGAGAGACTTGCCTTGCTAGCAGTGACCAGAATGTGTTCCAAGTGATAAAGTGGTGGCATGAAAAGGGAAAGCCAGCACTATGATTATCTTCAAGATTGAGGTAGCCCAGAGGAACTGGCTGTTGCACTGTACCCAAGCAGGAAAAAGGGCAGGCCATGACAGTGAGTGCAGGAAGAGCAATGCTGGTGGAAGCTGTAGAGAAGTGAGCAATGTGCTGGAGTACAGGGTGTGCCAAGGAGAGATGTGTCTGCACCAGTGCTTCCAGAGCCAGAGCCTCCCAACTTCATGTCAGGTCTAGGTCACTGCATTCTTCCAAGGCAGAGACCATCAAAGCTGATCTGCTGGCTTATTTTTGCAGCTAGCCTGGCCTCTGGTGTGGCTCTCCAATTGCCAGCAGGGGGTTATTCTGATCCAGCTCTAGCTGTAAGGCCAGTTCTCATTGGTCGTGTCCCCCTTAGTCCTTTTCTGCTGCTGGAACCAAATACCTTCATCTGAGTAATTTATAAAATATAGAAATATATTGCTCACAACTTTGGAGGCAGAAGAGTTTAAGATCAAGGTGCCAGCAGATTCAGCATCTGGTGAGGATTCCTCTCTGCTTCCAAGATGGCTTCTTGCTTCATCCTACAAGGCAACTTGCTCCTTTCAGTATCTTCTGTAATGGTACTACTTCCACTCATAAGTGTGGAATACTCATGAATTAACAACTTCCTTAAAGGCCCTAATGGGTAATACATTACCCATTGGGTATTCGATTCCATAATATGAAGAGTGGGGGCCAATTCATGTGTACTCTTGTGTCAGAAACAGAAGCATAAGACAAGAATTGAACTGGAGCAGGCTACAGGGTTTGTGTGGCTTCCTTTCTTTGATGATGATCAGAGTTCCATGAGGGAGTCAGGTTAATGCCTGTGAGGACAGTGTTTGGGACAAGGGAGACAACTAAAGTTTCACAGAATTGGATGTTTGATTTCTTACAGGTAAATTTAAAGCAAGTGGTTCCTTAGCATAGTACACTTCTTCTGCTTTGTGATGTTAGTACAGCCTCTAGCTGGGAGGAGAATACCCAGAACAGCGTGAAGGAAGAGAGGCTTACTTAGCTCACTGGTTTGGGGGCTCAGTCTGCTTGTTTGATCCCGTGTGCATGGGTAGGGTAGAATGTCATGGAGTGGTGGTGGTGGTGGTGGTAGAGGAGCTGTCTTATTGTGGACAGGAAGCAAGAGCAAGGAAAGGAAGGTGGCCCTGACAAGTCTCAGTCCCAGCCCTCAGTGACCTTGTTTTTTTTTTTTTTTTTCACTTAGGCACACCTCTTATAGCTTATGAGCCTGGGCATGGCAGCACATGCCTGTCTGTAGTTCTGACACTTGGGAGGTTGAGGCAGAAGAGGATTATGAGTGGAACTTCAGGGAAGGCAAGATCCTGTCTTAGCAAACCTCATCTTCCTTTCTCTAGTACTTTTAACTTTAAGTGCTTCTCAACCCCTTGGAGGTCGAATGACCTTTTCATAGGGGTTGCCTAAGCCTATCAGAAAACACAGGTATTTACTTTATAATCTATAGCAGTAGCAAAGTTACAGATGAAGTAGCAATGAAAATAATTTTATGGTTGAGAATCACCCCAACATGAGGAACTGTATTAAAGGGTTACAGTATTAGGTGGGTTGAGAACCATTGCTGTAAGCTTTTATGCCTTTCTAAGTCATGTTTTTCTAGTGGAGCAGATTGAACAATGACACTCGAGTAACATGGTCCCTAGGATTGAGAAATTGGTAGATGAATAGCCTTGGCTTCGGGGCTTAGCCTTTCTTTAGCTGTGTGAGGCCAAAGTGCTCCTCGTTGGGCTGATCTTATGGTGTGGGAAAGAGCTCAAGATCCTAAATGCTGGCTGTCAGTCATTGAGTGGTGGGTCAGAAAAAGGTGGCTCGGTGTCCAGGATGTTTGGCAGGTCCTCTAGAACCATCAAGGAAAAATGGCCAACCCCCAGTTCCACTTGTCTTGATGCATGCGGTCTCTGTTGCAGGGATTCTTTTTAGAGTCCTGTAGCTTTTCTGTGTGGAGCCTGGAGTCTTTTGGGGAAGCTGTCCCTCACAGTTTAATTGTGACATCTCTTTCAGCTGCAGGAAATGCGTTTTGTCAAGCTGCCAAGCTCCACATGCAGCTTCAGAGCAAACATGACTCCGCTACCAGCTTTGTGGATGCTGGAAATGCTTACAAGAAGGCAGACCCTCAAGGTGAGGTCACTTATCTGTGTCTCTGGCCAGCAGCGTCTCCTGTAGTGTAGAGGCTGGTGTGCTTTGCTGGACCCTGGTAATAACAATTCTTGCATTATGGACTAAGAAATAAATTTTGGTCATTTTAATAATGTCTAATCATAAAGATATCAATGTGGAGGAGTTGAGGAACATTTGAACAGTTTTTCATCTTGTAGCTAAAGCTGGCCTCAAACTCAAAGCTCTGCACTCCCCTGCCTCAGCCTCTCACATGCTGGGATCATAGTAACCTTATCTTTATTTTTATGAAATATGTTCTTTTTTTTTTTTTAAAGATTTATTTATTTATTATGTACACAGTGTTCAGCCTCCATGTATGCCTGCAGGTCAGAAGAGGGCACCAGACCTCATTACAGATGGTTGTGAGCCACCATGTGGTTGCTGGGAATTGAACTCAGGACCTTCGGAAGAGCAGTCATTGCTCTTAACCTCTGAGCCATCTCTCCAGCCCTGAAATATGTTCTTGAACGAAGAAGGAAATCCTGGTGTTTCCGTCCTCCTAAATGTATTTTACTTAGGGAAGGAGTGTAGTATCCAGTGGTTAAAAGGTGTCTTAACCACACAACACTCTTTTCATTGTTTTTCTTCTTCTTTTTTTCTTCTTCTTTATGAGACAGGGTTTCTCTGTGTAACAGTCCTAGCTGTCCTGGAACTAATTGTTGTAGACCAGGTTGGCTTTGAGCTCACAGAGATCCACCTGCCTCTGCCTCCCGAGTGCTGGGATTAAAGGCATGTGCCACCACTGCCCAGCTTTTTCATTGTTTTTCTAAGTGCTTTTCAAAGCTTTTTTTTTTCAATAGAAAAGAATATTGGACATTTATTAATAAATTTTTTTCAAATGTTACTTCTCTTTCAAGAAGGATTAAACTAAAGGTATTAAGATCTCATCCATGTATATGGTTATCTTGAGTCTTCTTCTGTAGTCTATTTAGTTTAACACAAAAATCTAAATTTCTAGGAATATATCCCAAAGAAAAATGTCATCAAGCTTTTTTGTATAAAGATTAATTATATTTTTATTTACAAAAGTGAGAGACCGGGCACAGCAGGTATGAGCAGAGTAGGTGAGCAGAATGACTTCATATTATAGAATATCATCACACAAGCATCCAAGTCCTGCTTGGTTTGGGGCTGGCTGTAATGATGCACACCTGTGATCCCTACACTTGGGAAACGAGGCTGGAGGCTTGGGAGTTGCAGACCAGCCTGGGATATGAGATCCTACCTCAAAAAAACAAAGTGCTTGGATTTATAGAATGTTTTTGACCTGGTAAATGTTCACTTGCTAATTAAATTAAGGAACTGAGTGTTATGTGGCCACAATTTCTTAAAAAAAAAAAAAAAAAAAACAAAAACCATATGCACGTGGAAACACATCCAGAACACTGGAAGGGAGGCGCTGAAGTGGGAATGCTGGGCCTGAGTGGTGGTGTAGATAACCGCACTCTGTTTTCCTCTGATTGGAGAGGCGCAGCAGCGAGTGTACACTTTTAAATACACTTCAGGGAAGTCACTTTTCCGTTTCTCCAGTCAAGCTTTGTTTCCTTGCTGTCTCTTTCAAACTGAAGGCAAACTTGGTGCTGTCAGCCACACTGTTCTGTGAGAGGAAACTTTGTGGCTCAATGTTTTAGGAAACGAATATAACTTATTAGCGTCGTCATTGTAAAGTTTTCCATTCATTTCTTGGATATGCATACCAGCGTAACTGTTAGTATACCAAAGTTTAGCATCTTGGAGCGGTATACACATTTGCATATTTGGCTTATTAGATTCACACTCTTTACTGAGTACAGTTTGACCAGCTGCCTCATGTTCCTGCTGCAGGACCTTCTTGTCATGGGTGGCCTATTAAGTCACAAGCCAAAAGAAACATTCTTCCCTTAAAAAGAAAGAGTTGAGTAAGCACTACAAAGTGCTTTTGATGTTGGCCACATGAAGAGTGGAGACTGTTGAAATGGTCTTTCTTGTGAAGAAGTGATATTTTCCAAAATTAATATAACACACATGGTATTAATGAAGGCTGCATTGACCTTGTACAGTAGTAGATTTGATTTACCAGTGTGGGTGGCAATCCCTGTGATCTTGTTTCCCTTGTAATAGAATCTGCCACCTGGATGGACTCCCTAAGAGTTACTGAGCCAGGATTACTGCAGCCACACGCCTTTAAATACCAGTGCAGCTGCTAGGAACAAAGCCACACTAATGAGTCTGGACTGTGCATGATTGTGTCTGCTCCCACTAACCAGCCTGCTGACCCACTACCCCAGATTTTACCTCCTGCCAGCAGTAACAGCCAGGTAACAGGCTCAGCTGAACCCTCTTTCACTGAATGAATTTTTCATTGTTTTTCTTAAATGCCCACGCTTCAGAGGCTATCAACTGCTTAAATGCAGCCATCGACATTTACACAGACATGGTAAGACATTGCATTGCTTGAATGGTTGTGGGGTGGCATCCTTGAGCTGCTTTCGAGTTATGTTTTTCTCCCTGTTCTCAAACTGATTGGTGTTTTGTGTAGGTAAGGCAGGTGGATGACTCTGCTCTCTCCCCTAGGGAAGGTTTACAATCGCAGCCAAGCATCACATCACGATTGCAGAGATCTATGAGACTGAGCTTGTGGACATTGAGAAGGTGAGCACTGGCCGCGCTTATGAGCTCGGTGCAGAAGGTAGATGCTTGGCCTCTTAGGAATCCTCTCCTGCTCTTTCCCAGCTGATTGGAGTAGTCCAGAATCATTACAGGTGTCCTGGAGGAGACTGCCTAGGCCTAGCTGGCAGAGTAAAGGGACTCTTTACCTGGAGTGCCAGAGAGATACTGAGCTTACCTGTTGTTTGTGCTTTGATTCATGTCAGAATAGTCAAAAGACTTGCCACCTGTCTGCCAAGTTCTCTGAGGCTCTGGAGATGTTGAAAGCATCCGCTTTCTCTGTCCACCTTGCTCTAGCCACTGCCCTGGGACCTGGGTACCAGCTGTTCCCTCTGCTTGTCCAACTCTTCCTCGCACACCCACAAGCTGACTCCTTGTGTCCTTTATCACCCTTTCCAGCTGATGGCCCCCTAATTAAGATTGTAGACCCCAGGAATACTTAGCCAGATGACACCTCCACAAATGCACACTCTTTACTCATCCCCACCCCCTTTTTACCGCCACATTTCACCTTGTTCACAGTTCTGGTATTTCTGTCTCCTTCCCACCTCTGGGCTTGGTGCCATATCTGCCGAGTTCTGCCACTACTTTTCTGATAGGTCCAAGGCCCAAGACATAGTAGGTTCTAAACAAATGCTAACGCGTAAGCAAGCATACTGCCCTCTCTGACATAGTCAAGGATGCAGGAAGCATGCAAGACTGATACCATACCAACTGCCAGTTGTTGCATTTACTTCATGCTGTTCACCCCCCAGCACACACACACACACACACACACACACACACACTACCCCACTCCCATTTTTTTTTTTTTTTGAGGAAGCTCTGGTCTTAATCTGAAGAGGGCTATCCCACATGTGTGCGTTGGGTGCACGGACTGGGGCCTGGGGAGTGAATAAAGTCTGCAGTTTATCTCTGGTGTAGGATCAATAAAGGGATGGGAGGGGTCAGGTCTGCTGTGATGGGGGCTTAATTTTCTCAGCAACTGGGATGGACATTGTCTTTTTTTTTATAGTTGAAATCTGCAATTTTACTCTATTCATGTTTTGATTATATAGTATTCAAACAAAGAACAAACCAGAAGGTCATGTGTCATTAGTTGGCACAGTATGAAAGCTTCTGACATTGTCTTTTTACTGACGAGTGGGTCCTGTGGAGCATGTGGAACATGCACAGGCATCATTCTGGGTTGCTTTTAGACCCATGGCTGTCAGAAGAGCACACTGGCCTGGCTGTCAGAAGAGCACACTAGCCTGGCAGTCAGAGGAACACACTGGCCTGGCTGTCAGAGGAACACACTAGCCTGGCAGTCAGAGGAACACACTGGCCTGGCTGTCAGAGGAACACACTGGCCTGGCAGTCAGAAAGAGCACTCTGGCTTGGAGCCCATTCCTTATACCAGGGAATATTTCACACAACCACTTCACTACATGGGCTCCACAAATTGGGGTGAATGAAATGGCTTCTAGGGTTGTCATTTTTTTTATTTTTGGTTTGTCATGGTGGCCTTTTGAACTTATAGTACCTGGCCTGTTTTTGTTATTCTATGAATTAGCCAGTAGGTGGCACCTTTTTTCACTGATGTATTTTGTTCTGTTGAAAGTAGTTTAAGAACTAAAGCCTGGGTGTCATGTGTATGTGATCCCAGCCGTCAGGAGTTTACACCTGAAGAGTTATAAACTCAAGGCCAGTATGGCTGCATAGCAAGGCACTGTCTTAAAAAAATATGTATACTTTACACACACACACACACACACACACACACACACACACACACGTACATACAGAGCAAGTTCCAGGACAGCCAGAGCTACATAGAGAGACCCTATCTCAGAAAAAGCAAACAAACAAACAAAAAAGATTTAAGAGTCAGAGGAATAGGGAGTTTGCCATGAGATAGTCTCCCAGGAGACTAAATCCATAAAGCCTCACCAGCAGGAGTGCCTAAAGATCAGCTGAACACGGAGAGCAATAGACGTGCTGGTGTGGACAGAGGAAAACCCAGGCCTCAGCCCTAGCCAGAGTCTGCGGGCAGCTAAAGAATGCTGAGAGCAAGAGAAATCGTCTTCCCCAGGGACAAGCATACCAGTTGGTTATCCATTACCAAATGGTCAGCCCTGATACACAGACTGAGCATATGTGTAACAACAATTAATGAAAAAATAGGTCCCGAATTTGAAAGAGAGCAAGGAGTGTTTGGAGGGAGAAAACGGATGGGGAAAATGATGTAATTATAATATCAAAAAATAAAATAATTAAAACAAAACAAAACCTTGTAGCCAGGAGTGGCTTGAATACCAGCATTTGGGAGGTAGAGGCAGTTGGGTCTTTGTAAATTCAAGGTCAGCCTGAACTCATAGCAAGTTCCAGGACAGTTCCAGTGGTACTGCCTAAAAATAACTAACTAACTAAATAAAGGTTATAACGAACATCTTCCTAATAAATATTAAGTTAGACCAAATTGTTAAGTATGGATTTCTCCCCAATCCTTCTATCTGAGACAGCAGCTCCATATGGCTCAGCTCAACCCTGTTCATTGCTCTCAGTGAAAAACTAGGAAGAGAGTCTGTGGTCCAGGTTTTTTACAAGAGAAATGGGTATAGCTTTTTGTGCCTTGATCCATTTATTACAGAGGAAACATTGCTGAGCAGTTCAGAGAATAAGAAGGGTCCAGAAGGGTGAGGCCAGGCATCAAATCTAAAGCTTCATACAGGCCAGGCATGTACTCTACCATTAGGCTACGCCCCAGCCCCCACTCATAACTTCGCTGTGGTCCTTTGTATTGGATGTTGACAGTGGTCTAGCAGGGGCCTTCTGTTCATTCACTTCTGATTACTGAGCACCTGCCATACAGTAGGTATTATTTTAGGCTCAGGATGCTATGGTGAACAGCAGTCCTGGGCTTTCCCTCACAGAACTTGCTTCTGAGGAAAATGGAACAATGTGTGTGGTGGTTCTGAGAAGGATTCCAAGTGATTGTATTGTCCTGCTGCTTTTTATGGACTTTTCTATCTGTTAAAATGGGGTCATAGTGTACCTAACCTTTTTCTGACTTGGCACTTCTACCCTTTACCTTTAACTGTTTCTTTTTTTTTTTTTTTCCATTATAAATAACACTGAAGAAATCTGTTTGGAGAGCATAGTAGGTAGGTGGGCTATGTGACTGAAATACAGAGTAGAAGTATCTTATTGAAGAATTGTTCAAGTGTGTATCCTTGGAATGTTCCACAACCTAGAGACTTTGGTAGTATTGGCTCCGGGAGCTGTAAGCACTACTTTACAGACAGGCTGAGAACACAGGTTTTTAAAGGTGTAGTTTTTCTGGTGTAGTTCTCAAGCCTGCTTCATTGTAGTTGTTTTCTTATTTCTGTACTTTAGTCTAGTGGTTGTGTATTTGGGGCTTATTGGGAAAGCTGTGTAAATTAAGGCAGAGGGCTGCAAACCTATGGCTTGCTTGTGTATGTCTGAAAGCTAGCCAAAGTGATTTACTGCTTAATCATCAGAATCAAAACCATCTGTGACCCATAAAAATTGGGCCAGTGAGGTGGCTTGGGGTAAAGCACTTGCTGTGTAAGCCTGATGAACTAGTCCAACCCCCAGAACCCAGACAAAGTGGAAGGAGAAAACCCACTCCATAGAGTATCCACTGACTTCCATGTACCTCTGACCCACCCTCCCCAAATCAACTTTTTCAAATGTTGAAATCATGTGGAAATGAAGTTGTCCTGCATTCCGATGCCATTGGTGGCTGTGCTGTGACAGGATCACTGAGTACTGCCAGCAGAGCTCAGTCAACTCCAAGACCCTAGAGTGTGATTTAAGCCACTGCAGAAAATGCTTATCTGATCCCTGTTTTAAACTGGGCTGCCATTGGTTTTTCAGGCCTTTACCAGTATACATGCTCTGTTGTCCCATAACTGCCTGAAAAGCAGCGAATTATTTCCAGAGTCATCCTCATCATTCTTGTTTTCTTTTTCCTTCTGGATTTTCAAGACAGGGTTTCTCTGTGTAGCTGCTGTAGCTGCTCTGGAACGCTCTTGAACTCACAGAGATCCACCTGCCTCTGCCTCCCAAGTGCTAGGATTATTCATGCACCACCTCCGCCCCACTCTCATCAGATTTATTAAAGCAGTATATACCACCATCCTGTTCTTCTAACTGCTTTGCATACTTTGAAGCTCTGATAGTGTGTTCTACCTTCTAAAGTGTTGGTTGGGTCTGATTTCACTAATACTCTTATCACAGCCTGTTGATTGCGTTGGGTGGGTTACTCAGTCTAGGGGTTGTAACCCACCCTGCAATCAGTTATTCCAGGATCTCGGAGGGGCGCTACCTGGAAGGGAATGAGCTAGGACAGAAGAAGGAGGCCAAGCAGATTTTTCAAAGCCTCCGTTTATTAGGATCATGGTTGCTGCTTATATAGCCACTGAAGGGTAGGGAAACTGGACTCGTGCCACGTGTTCCAGGTCACGTAGGCCAGGTTACTTCGGACAGGTAGGCCAAGAAGTCACACCTAGTTCCCTGGATAGCTGGAATGTGAGGCGGGTTCCGCTAACAGATAACTCTCCATCAACAGCTTAATTGGGTGTGGGGCAGGTTCTCAATAGAACATAATTATGGGTGTGGGGTTCTCTGCAGACTCCCCAGGGTGATGGTTCCTGTAATGATTTTTAGAGGGGAAATGGCTCGTGACAACAGCCCAATGAGGGTGTCTGGCTTTCTTCTCTATCCATTCGAATGTTGCTTGGGTGTCACATATTTTAAACGGAAGGAACTCCTTTGCTTAGGTGATACTTGTGGTGGTAGGAAAAGCCAAAGCTGTTGCAGTAAGTTGCAGGGTATAATGGCTTCAGAGCCCTCTAAACTAATACTCCATGGTGCAGATTTGACAGGGATGAGTATGCTGGGATAAGGGGTCAGTTAGGAAGCAGGTTGATAGAATTCGGCCATCTTCAGTCGCCCCAGACATGACCATGTCTTATAACTTTTAGAAAGTGGAAAAGAAGAAAGGGTACAGAGTAAGATGTTTGACTATTCGCATTCTATCAGAGAACTAGTCATGGGGCCACCCTGACTACAGTGGAAGCTGGACCATGAGTAAGTAACTACTGGTTACTTTTCTGTTGCTGTATATGAAACAGCATGACCAAAAGCAATTTATGGAATAAAGAACTTATTTTGGTTTTGAGTTACAAGGGGATAGATTCCATCATGACAGAGAGGCATGACAGCAAGTGACAGACATTGTGGTAGAAGCAGGAAGCCAAGAGAGAGATCATATCTTCAATGTCAAACATGAGAGAAGGAAGTAGAAGTGGGATGGGGCTGTAAACTCTTAAAGCCCACCCTCAGTGAGGGCTTCCTCCAGCAAGCCTGTACTTTCCCATAACCTCTCCATACAGCACCACGAACTGGGGCCAAGTTGTCAAATATGTGAGCCTAAGAGGAACATTTCTCATTCCACAGATAGATTTGGATGAAATCAACAGCCATTCTTTCTCCAGGAGGCTTCAGGGCCACACGCTTTACTGTATTTGCTGAGGAGACCAAGTTCAGAAAGATTTATCACTGGAATAAGCTTAATTATAGGAAAAAAAAATTAGTGTACACGTAGTTTTAATTTTTTTCTTACATATATTCATTTATTTTGTGTGTGCACATGTGTCATGACATGCTTGTGAGGTCAGGGGACAACTTGCAGGAACCCTTCTTTCCTCCTACCATCAGGGTTTCAGGAATCAAACTCGAGTGGCAGGCTTGGCAGCAAGCGCTTTTACCTACCGAGTCATCTTACCAGCCCCTATGTGTTTTTAAATGCAATTCGTGGAATGAATTGTTTGTAAATTACATGTATGTACTTTCAGGCTATTGCACACTATGAGCAATCTGCTGATTATTACAAAGGAGAAGAATCTAACAGGTACATGCTTTTCTTCATATCTGTAATGGGCTTTTCATATGTGGTAAAGGATAACTCATCTCTGTCATCTGAGCATCTCTTCCAGAAGCAGGTGGCCTCGGGCCATGTCTCCTCATTGCTGTCACTTACTCTGCACTGTGCTACTTTCAGCTCTGCTAACAAGTGTCTGCTGAAGGTGGCAGCCTATGCCGCACAGCTGGAGCAGTACCAGAAAGCCATCGAGATCTACGAGCAGGTGCGGACACCGTTACGTTTGTAACAGTCACTGCTACGACTGCTACAACATTTACGTTTGTAACAGTCACTGCTACGACTGCTACAGCATTCCCAGCACTCCCAGAGAAGTTTGGTTTCTGTTTCCCTGATTTGCCATTCTTGACCCTTTCACATATATAGAATAATACACTGTCTGTTCTTGTGTCATTTGTCACAGTGTTTTCAAGGTTCTTCATATTGTAACGTGTCAATGTTTCATTGCTTTTCATGGTTGAATAATATTTACTCTGTGGTTTATATGTTCATCTGTTAGTAAGCATTTGGGGTGCTTCCACTTAGGGTCGATTGAGGACATAACTGCTGTGAACGTTTGTCCTTAACTATTGTGGGAACATGTTCTCAGTTGTTTTGGCTACATACTTGGGGGTGGAATAGAGATTGTTGGGCTTCATGGTACACCCAAGCCTGCCTTACTGAGGACTACCGGAATCTTACAGAGTACTGAATCACTGGGCGCTCCCAGCACAGTGCCCAGGGCTCAACTTCTCTACATCTCCACTAGCATCTCTCTGTGATGCGTAATGAGTGTGAAGCATTTCTCTCAGGATGAGTTATATTAATTTTTATGTGCCCACTGGCTGTTTTTTGTTTTTGGTGAAGTGTCTGAGTCCTTTTTCATTTTGAGAGTTAGGAATTCTTTAACCCTAGATATTAGGATACAAGTTCTTTTTTTTTTTTTTTTTTGGTTTTTCGAGACAGGGTTTCACTGTGGCTTTGGAGCCTGTCCTGGAACTAGCTCTGTAGACCAGGCTGGTCTCGAACTCACAGAGATCCGCCTGCCTCTGCCTCCCAAGTGCTGGGTTTAAAGGCGTGCGCCACCATTGCCCGGCAGGATACAAGTTCTTTATGGTCAAGAGTAACTTAACACTTTTTTCCTATTGTATGGATTTCCTTTTTATTCTGTTATTTGCCTTGATCTAGATTTTTTTTAATCTTTAAAATAATTTTTTACATGTATTTATTTTGTGTGCGTGGAGTATGTGAGTGTAGAAAATGGAGTACAGAAAGCCTGTGGAAAAGAGAGGACAATTTGAAGGAATTGGTTCTCTCCTTCTATGTGTGGGTCTTGGGACTCAAACTTAGGTCTCCAGGCAACAAGCACTTTACCAACTGAGCCATCTCGCCAGCCTCTGAATTTTTAATTTTTATGAACTCTTAGTTTGTCTTTTTTACTATCTGTATTTTGGTGTTGAATCCTTGTATATTTACTATCAGTATTTTGGTGTTGAATCCTTGTATATTTAAATTGAGCATCATGAATCATTTTAACCAGTAATTCAGGTCTTTGGTCCAGTGAGTTAAGCTATTTGTGTGCCTGTTAACCAGGGATCCACCTTCACTCTAACATGCGAACATAACCTTACTCACTGTCACTGGGTAAAAACACTCCTCAGTGGTCTGGCAGTTGTTTCACTCCAGGGTTCTACTCCATCCATCCGTCCAGCTTTATGCCGGTATCACTTAGTTCTGACAAAGGTATCTTTACAGAGAAATTTGAAAACAGGAACTGTCTGTCCTGCAGTCCTCCTGCTGTTAATCCCTTGAATTAACATAAATGTTGGGATCAGTATGTTATCCTGCAGTGAATCTAGTTAATAGGACTTGAACTGGGTGTGTAGAGCAATTCAAAGAGCATATTAGTTAAGGTTCTCCAGGAACAGACAGAGCCAATAGATTGGAGTACAGGAAGAAAAGAAAGATGTTAGGGGTTCGCTCTCAATAGTAGTGGTTGAGATGGCCCAGATCTATCATGAAAACAGATTATATGAGCCTAACCCAAATGCAGAAGAGCTTTGTCTCAATTCTAGAACTATCAAGTGAGGAGGATCAGCTGTCCTTTTCTTAAATTAAAAAAAAAATGTATTTTTTATTACATTTGTTTGTGGGGCAAAGAAAATTGTAGAAGTCATTTCTCTCACCAGGAATCCAGGAAATGAACAGGCTGCCCAGCTTGGTGTAAGCACCTTTACCTCTGAGCCATCTCACCAGCCTTTTGCTTAGACTTCTTATTGGTCCAGGCATCAGTAAGTTGGCTGAGGCCCATCCCTGTTGGAAAGGGAAGTCTGCTTTTCTCCTCTGCTGATTGAAATGCTAAATCTTACTCAGAAACATCCAGGGTGATATTTAGCTAGTATCTGGGCACCAATGGTCTACTCAAGTTGACATATAGAGTTAATCCTCAGAAAATATTGCCATTTTTAAATATTTAGTATTTAAGTAATATATTACATAGTTTTTGTGTTGCTGTGACTAAATGCCTGACAAGAGTAATTTAAAGACAGAAAGGTTTAGGCAGGCATTGGTAACACTGCCTTTAATTTCAGCATTTGGGAGGCAGAGTCAGGCAGTTCAAGGTCAGCCTGGTTATGAGCAAGTGTCTGAACAGCTAGGGTTACACAGAAAAATTCTGTCTCAAAAAAAAAAAACCGAAACCACAGGGGGGTCGGGGGAGGGGAGTGTTAAATTCCAGGGTATAAATCCTTTATGGTCAGAACTCACAGCAGCAGGAGTATGAGGCAGCAGGTCACGTGGCCTCCACAGTCAGGAGGCAGAGAATGATGAGGACTGATTGATATTCAGCTCCTTCTTCAACTTTATTTGTGGCAGTTAGGATGGGTATTGTAATTTAAAAAGAGCGGCTGGAGAGAGAAAGATGCCATGTGACAATTCCTGTGGAGAGGCTTTTATTGGAGGAAGTAAATGGGAAAGGGGGGGAAGGGAGAGAGGAGATGGGCCTTTGGGGACAGGAATGGAGGGGGGGACACCCACCCCACCCCCGCCCCTCTGAGGTTTTGTCCCCTCACACTGTCTGCTGCCTCTGTGGTCCGCTTCAGATTGTGCTGTCATTGGCGATCTTCCGATTGTGCTCCAGGCTGCTCAGATTTTTATCGCCTCTCTTTGTACTGGCCCTAAACAGTGTTAATTGTTTACACAGCTAGGGCTGTTGGTGGAGGGTGGAGCTCAGGCTCCCCTTTGGCCTTCTTAATACCTAGGAAGGAAACTCTCATTCTCCCTGGGCAGAGGAAAGGAGCCTTACCAGTATGATGTGGAAGTTCCCACCCTTGTTAGGCCTCTTATGACCTCTGTTCTCTCTTAATTGACTTCTCCTGGAACTTGTGGATGCTAGGTTCTTTATTTCTATGTTTGGGTTATAGTAAAGAAGAATAAAACCCAGTAGCTCTGCCCCCTAGCCCCCATGGGGTTTTCCCAGATTGCACACCCCTAGTTGGTTGGCTGTCCTGGGCCTCTGTCCACAGATATTTGAAGTGTTTATCTAATCATTCTTTATCAACAAAACATTAGGATTCAGATATGGGGTAAGAACCTTGAATGATCAGAGAAGTAATGGAGAAGCCACAAGTGACCTCCTCTCTTCTCTTCCATTCCTCAGTCCAAAAAGCTGAGATCCTCTCTCAGTCCTACCTTACTACTTCTTAATAGATCCATATCTATCACCATGCACAAAATTCAAGTCCAAATGGATCAAAGACCTCAACATACAGCCAGCCACACTGAATCTCATAGAAGAGAAAGTAGGAAGTACAGTTGAACACAGGAGACCACTTCCTAAATATAACCCCAGCAGCACAGACACTAAGAGAAACAATAAATGGGGCCTCCTGAAACTGAAAAGCTTCTGTAAAGCAAAGGACACTGTCAACAAGACAAAGCGACAGCCTACAGAATAGGAAAAGAGTTTCACCAACCCCACGTCAGACAGAGGTCTGATCTCCAAAATATACAAAGAACTCAAGAGATTAGTCATCAAAAGAACAAATAATCCTACATTACTACTTCCTATTTCCTGTCTGTCCTCAGTCCTTCAAGACCTCTATGTTTAATTTTGGTCAGTTAATGGCTAGTTCCACCTCTGACTAAAAGCAAACTTTGTCAGAATGCGATCAAAATGTCATGGAATAGACATTTGTTTTTTTTTTTTTAATAAACTTCTAGTTACACTTCATAGGAAGAATGGGGGAAAGTTTAGATCTTTTTCATTGTCTTAGAAACAGAAGTATTTTTAGACATTTTTAACAGTTCCTATGCCTCATAATTCTTTCTTATCCAGTAAAACTTTGTACTATGTGGTATTGGGTATATCAGTATAAGATACTGAAAAGTATTTTTTAGAATAAAACAGGTGAGCAGGCAGTGGGTTGTTTGCCTGTGCTAGTGACTTTGCTGTCTTCTCTGCCTAGGTAGGAGCAAACACTATGGATAACCCCTTGTTGAAGTACAGTGCAAAGGATTACTTCTTCAAGGCAGCGCTCTGTCATTTTATAGTGGATGAGCTGAATGCCAAGGTGAGAACATGCTCCTTTCTGATGACTTACCTTACTTACTTTTGAGAAGACATGCTTTGTCGTTCTTGATGTTTCTTCACACAGGTCTTAAGAGCTGTGGTGATGGCTCAGCTGATAAAGGATTTAACTCACAAACCTGCTGACTCGCATTCAAATGCCCAGCACCCATGTAAAAGTCAGGTGCAGTGGGCTCACATCTGTAATTCCAGCACTGAGGAGCAGGGCAGAGATAAGCTGGTCCCTGAGCCATATGATGAACCTTCGGGTTCAGAGAGATGCTGCGTTCAAAAATAAGGTGGAGGATGACAGAGAGAGAGATCCTTGATATTGACCCCCTTACCTCCACATGTACACACTTATGTGCAGATGCACACAGCCACATGAATACATACTTATCCTGCCCCAACATATACAAGTAAAAATAATAGTTCTTCTGTGATGTGTGAGTTTGAATCTTTTGACATCTGCAGTGCTGTCCCCTTCACGTTTCCATTAGTGGTTGCTTAAGTAGAATGGGGAACTAAGAGAAGACAGTAAAATCAATGTCCTCTGTCCTTTTTACATTTGCTTGCTATTTACTTATTTTTGTGGGGAAGGGATAGCTTGTGGCTATGTCACAGCACACATGTGGAAGTTAGAGAACTCCTTTTAGGAGTTAGTCTTCTTCTACCATATAGGACCCATGGATCAAACTCAAGTCAGACATGGTGGCAAATTGCTTTTACCTGCTAAACTACCTCATTGCCCCTACTAGCTTTTTTGTTGTTGAGACAGGGTGTCTCTGTGTATCCCTGGCTGTCCTGAAACTTACCGTGTAGACCAGGATAACCTTGAACTCAAAGAGATCCACCTGCCTCTGCTTCCCAAATGCTGGGATTAAAGGTATAGATCACCACACCTAGCTTCTAAATACTCTTAAAAAGTGTGCAGACAACCTCAGAAGTGGAATTAAAATAAAGGTCGGAGAAAAGTGCAAAGCAAGGGGACAACTAGAAAGCAGGATTGGGCTTGAGCAGCCTTGGCACTGCCATCTAGCGCTCAAAGAGCCGCAAAGAAAAACCGTGCCAGGGTCATTCCTGCCCTATGGGTATTTGGCATTTGGAGGATGTGAAGGAAGGTTTCAGTTTAGCAGACAAGTATAGATCCTGGCAAGTGAATTAGATTTTATTCAGTTTTCTTCTGTCCAGTAGCCCAACTGAAATCTAAAAATTTTTAGAAATTTTATTCTCAATTGAAATTAAATAGCTAACATAAATAGGTTTCCTGTTATGATGTGTTTAACATATTTCTTCAACAATTAAATGGGATTGAAATAGTTTTTTTTTGGATTAACAGGGCATTGACAACTTTCTTAGTTCATTAAGTTTTATATTGACCAGTTGTTTTCCTTCCTCAGCTTGCTCTTGAGAAATACGAGGAAATGTTTCCAGCATTTACTGACTCCAGAGAATGTAAATTATTGAAAGTACGTACTAAAGCAACTTTGAAGACAAAAGCCTTTACTGTTGGGTGATGGCACCAAAGTGGGGCAGCTGATGGGTGGAGTTTTCATCAGTAACTCTTCTGGGGGTGTACTGGTTACTGGACTTATTGCTGTAATGAAGTAATAGAGGAAGTCTGTTTTGGCTACAGTTTGATAGGCAGTCCATCCTGGCACCAGGGGCATGAGATGTTTGGTCACACTGTGTCTTCAATGAATAAATAAGCAGAGAGAAATGAATGCTGGTGCCTCACTTGCTCTTCCCTTTTAGTCAGTCCAGGACTCAAGAGATGGTGGGTCTTCCTTCTTTAGTTCTTCCTTCTTTACTTAAACCTTTCCTGAAACACCCAAAGATGTGTTTAAATAGTGACAAAGTTGACAATGAAGACAAGCCATTACTTGAGCACCTCAGACTTGGCTCTTTCATTGTAGATATCCTATGTCAAGAAGGTTTAGTATTTAACACTGTTCCAAAGTAGGCAGACTTAAAACGAAGTACAAAGCTAGATCCTCTTCTAATACTTATATCTGGATATATCCTGTTTTGTGAGATACTAGGAACATCAGTTCATGAGATACCAAAGTGGATTGTGTCTAAAGTATTCCTTCAGAAACAGGACTTTCTAGCTTAAAGTATTTTCTTGTTTTTTTTTTTTTTAACATCACCAGAAACTTCTAGAAGCCCATGAAGAACAGAACAGTGAAGCTTACACTGAAGCAGTAAGTTATACCTTAGGGAATATTGCATTGTTAAAGGTTTATAGTATAAAAATTCATTTTTCTTTACCTTGTGTAAATTTTGAACATTTATTTGAATGTGGCTCAGTTGCTTGTATTTTTTTATTTTTTTTGGTTTTTCGAAACAGGGTTTCCCTGTGGCTTTGGAGCCTGTCCTGGCACTAGCTCTGAAGACCAGGCTGGTCTCGAACTCACAGAGATCTGCCTGCCTCTGCCTCCCGAGTGCTGGGATTAAAGGCGTGCGCCACCATCGCCCGGCATAGTTGCTTGTATTTTCTAAAGATGTTTTGTTTGTCCACAAAGCTTGATCCTCTAGGGTTGGTGAGATCACTCTGTGCTTTAGAAGAACATTTGTTTCTCTTTAAAGGACCAGAGTTGGATTCCCAGCCTGCCACAGCTCATAATCATCTGTGACGCCAATTCAGGGGATCCAGTGCCCTCTTCTGACCTCCATGGGCACCTGACACATATATTGTTGTGAGAGTTGTCACACGGAGTTTTAGTGCTGAAAACTGACAGTGTAAAGGAGGGCTTATAGTTAAGACTGAAGTAAAAAACTGGGCATTTGGTGTACTGTGGTGTATTTGTGTTATAGGTTACTTTCTTTGTACTTGTGGGTTTTTTTTTTTCTATTTTTTGTTTATCTTTTGCAATCCTGTGTTCAAAGTCAAGCAGATTTCTCAGCAGCCTGGAATGGTTCAGCTCCAGTCCTAATGTGACAGTGAAAAGGGATGTCATAACTTTCACCTGGAATGATTCAGCTCCAGTCCTAATGTGACAGTAAAAAGGGATATCATAACTTTCACCCTCAAAGCACTCTCACCAGTGGTGCTGTCTTTCTTTGCATGTGCTGAAATCCATCAAGGGAATTCTGCCCCCATCCCCTAACTATTTGATTATATTTTTTTTCATGGTCAGTAAATAATAGTTTTCTTCCACATTTCTAACTCTTATGCCATGTCCACTGTCCTCTGTATAAAGAATTTACCTTTGCATTTATAATAGCTTTTCTGAATTGCCATGCACATGTTCACATACAAGGAAAAATTAAATGCACAGGCTTATGGAATAAGGAAAACAGTTTTGGGGGAGTGTTTTTGTTTATTTGTGTTTGTTTAATTTTTTTTTTTTTTTTTTGAGACTTGGTTTCTCTGTGCAGTGGTCCTGGCTGTCCTGGAACCCACTCTGTAGACCAGGCTGGCCTCACACTCACAAAGATCCACCTGCCTCTGCCTCCCCAGTGCTGGTATTAAAGGCGTGCGCCGCCACCACCTGGCTATGAAAACTGTTTTTACTGAGGAAAGTTATAAATTAGAATGAATAATTTCTAATCAAAGTCAGTGAGTTATTACAGTAACATCTTCAGACAGCTTAGGTCACTGTCATATTGTGTTTTCAATATATTTCAGGGTATAATTCCTGTTCTTCGTTCCTTAACCCAGGTGAAGGAGTTTGACTCAATATCACGCTTGGATCAGTGGCTGACCACCATGTTGCTTCGTATCAAGAAGTCCATCCAAGGGGATGGAGAAGGAGATGGAGACCTCAAGTGAAGTGCTGACCTCTTTGTGGCATGCAGCCCATTCCTTTTTAGTTTTGTCTTCAGGCAAAGCGATCTTTCTGGGATGCCCATTTAATGACTTAACTTTGTTGTAAATAAGCCACACAATTTATGTCATAGTTTCAGCTCGCCATGTCTGTGTTACTGTGAGAGTGGGAAGCTTCTATTCAGTTTGTGGTTATGACAGCCAAAGTATATAATGCTTATCAGAGTCCTCATAGTTTTCTGAGAAGTACTGCCGAATCTTATTCCTGTTTCTCTGATATTTTCAGGGCCCATGGTCAATGTTGCCATGTGTTTTTCCTTTTTTCCTAAACTCTGGTACTCAACCCAGTTTTATAGATGCTTTGCAAAGACATTGTGCATTGGTATCTGGATGGACCCTTTATACAAGTGGTTTAGTTTAGGATGGTTATTAGGAATAAGTTTTTAATTCAGATAGAAACTGTCTGGCTTTCTTTTATAGTTATTTTGATGGTGCTAGTGATGAATTCATTTCCTTTTTATTTTGCCCCATATGCTCACATGTACATGGCAGGCACTGAGAACAGCTGGGATCTGTTGGCATCACTTGCATTATAAGGGGAAGGAACTTGCTGGCAGGTTCTGTGGTCCTATTATATAGATGAGTGTCAAGGTGGATTTCATTGATATATATTTTTTTAACATAAACAATCTATGAAAAATGAATTTTTTTCCCTTACCAAGAGTTTCCACTTTTAGTCATAATGGAAATCTCTTCATATTTTCACAAAAATGTTATAACTGGTATTTCCTTTGTTCTCACACTTATATATTCCTCACATTGTCTTCTGGGCCATGGTCATGCCAAGCTGGAGCAGAGCTGGACAGAAGATTCCAGCTGAAGCTTGAGAATGTGTGGTTAGTGTCCATATGTTGGGCATGGTAGTTAAGTGGTGGTCAGTGTGGCATGTGTTTGTTATCTCTGGTTGGATAAGAACCTTACCTATGTCTGATGGTCCCTGGTTTATTCTTAACTGAAGTGACTTCACGTGTATGTATGAGTTCTCTTGTCCCATTTGATTTATATAAGATGTATGCTCTGTTATTTCAGAGTTTGACTCTCCATGCTACTTTATATGCTGATACAGTACTGTAGACATGGTCTTGCTTCCTGAGTCGCCTGTGCATTTGTATGCTGAGATGATCTGTGCTTAAAGAGCATGTGTTACTAGAAACACTTCATAGTCCTAATATACTGCTGTCATGTGACAGACAGGTATGAAATGGCACCGGAATGGTGTTTTCATCTTTGGATGGCCCTGGAGTAGGGTTGGCGGCACGAACTGTGCAGTAGAGTGGCTATGCCAGGACCAGGCTTAAAGGAGGAGAGTTTGAGGACTGTTGAGAAATTCAGATCTTTCAGAAGTGAATGTAGCAGGATGAGATTAGAGACATGGTTTCTGCTCTTCCAGGGGGCCCAAGTTTGAGCCCCAGCACCCTTGTTGAGTGGCTCAAAATCACCTGTAACTCCAGTGCCCCCGGGAGTTCTAAGTACCCTCTTCTGCCTCAATAAGCACATGCATACAGATAAACATATACATGAAATGAATATATACATACATGTAGGCAAAACACTCATATATAAAATAATAAATCAATTTTAAAAAATATTTTTAAAGAAAATATTAGCAGGCGATGAAGTTGAGATTGGTCCCATGGGGACAGGTGGTAGGTGTCTGTCAGACACTGTGAAGACTCTCTAGCCCTGACCCGGTGTTAAAAGGGTGTGTGTGCAGGGAACTCTGAGGCCTCCGCATGTCTGGAGAAGAGGGAATGTGCCCTAGAATCTGATGAGGATTCCTTTTCCCTTCAATGGTTTTTGGAGTTTATTTTCTTTTCTCCCCCTGCACACCAAGTCAGGGTTTCTCTGTGTAGCTTTGGAGCCTGTCCTGAACTTGCTCTGTAGACCAGGCTGCCTCCAACTCACAGAGATCTGCCTGTCTCTACCTCCTGCATGCTGGGATTAAAGGCGTGCGCCACTACCACCTGGCACATTTTGCGGGGAGGGGGTGTTTCTGAATGATAGCTGGCTGTACCAAAGGTAAAATTTGTACTTGAGCCTAGTATATCCTTCTTGACTCCATTAGAATCACTTATGCAAAGACAAACAGAAAAGTTAGTTATTGGGCTAGAGAGATACCTCATCTACTGTTCCAGAGAACCCGTGTTTAAGTCCCAGCAACCATATGAGGGACTCAGCTATCTGTACCTCCAGTCCTAAGGAATCCACCATCCTCTTTCCGCCTCCACAGGTACCAGGCACGCATGTAGTACACAGACTTACATGTAGACAAAATGCATACACTTAAAAATAAGTTTTTTAAAACGCTGGTTTATAGAAAAGTGGGTTATTGCTTTATTCACAACCAGCTACAGGCAGCTGTGGAAAAGAGATGTGTAAATGGCTGTAAATCAGTTCCAGTGGGAGATCATTTGAGCACTGGCCAGTCTCTGTACTCTGCCTCACTTCTTCAGTCTTCTGGTGTGATGATTGAAAAGCCCACATGGTATCTTGTAAGACACTTTGGTTTACCTTTCACCATGATTCCCTAACATACCTATCTAGAGAAGTGTTGGGTTTTTAAAGTAGTGTTTGTTTTCTTTCAGTTATTTGTTTTTCCTGAAGTTAAATAAGTGCTTGAGCAAGCATCATAGACACTTGTAATCCTATAGTATTTAAGAGGATAGTTTGGAGGATTGCTTTGAATTTGAGGCCAGCCTAGTTTACCCAGTGAATTTCAGGCCAGCCTAGGTTACAATGTGAATCCTTATCTCAAAAAACAAACCAAAACAAACAAAAAAGGAAAGGCTGAGATCAGTCAGTGCTTGGGTTTTTTTTGTCCCAGCACTTGGGAGGCCAAGGAAGAAGAGCATAATTTCCAGAATAGACTAGAATAAACTTTGTAGCAAGACCACCTAAGAACAGACCTGACAGAAAGTAAAAGAATGAGGAAAAAAATCTAGACAGAAGTATGCAAGCTTACTTTCTCCAAATGTCTCAAGATGCCTAGGTGTGGGCTTCCCAGGTCTCTAGATTATTATGAACAAAACACAATGATCCTTTGTTAGAGTTCTCATACTTGAGAGCATCTGGGGATAGTTCATAGTTGTGTCAGTTGAAAAGCTTTGCTTTTGTGGCAACATTTTTATAGCTTGTGTGAATTCCTTTTTTATTTAATGACATAAAACAGTATTTTTGCACAGTTGTAACCATGTGTGGTGATGTCACTATAACCAAAGTATATGCACCAACCCTTGTGCATTTATTGTTCCCTCTGATGTTGTGCATTTAAAATGTCTAAATACAAACCTCTGTGACTGTGGAGGATCTGGCAGCACAGCATGCCCGTGACCTGCCTGCTGCAGTGTGAACTCTGACCAGTAGCAGGCCCTCTGATGTCCTGAGTTGCTCTCAGGCAAGGGAGTACATTATAAAAACTAACCATGTAACAATAAGTCTACCTTAGCTGAAAGGATGTTTTATGTGAACTTGTACAGTAAATAAAGTGGAAATTAGCAATAATGGTTTGACTAGTCTTTGCTACCAGAACTAGTTGAAGTTGTTCCGATCAAGTTTACAGTACTGACATTACTGATGCTAGGCTTTTTGTGCCATGCTCACCCAATGGTTCTGCTGGCTGAGGTTTAGAAAAAAACCCTGGTATCCTCTCTTGCTGCGAGTCAGGTGCCAGCGGCTGCCAAGCTCATCTCTTCCCTTCCTTGCATCCTTTGAGTTTCACTGTCACTTGCAAGGCAAACAGAAAAGGGGCTGCAGGGAACTGTTGAGTTCTGGGAGGGACCTGGCAGCCCAATGTTCCCCTTCCCTGATTCATCTTATAGGCAGGTATCTCCACAGGAACTATTGTTGCCCTTGGAGGTGGGAAGTACAGCCCCTTGCCAGTGAGTTACAGAACTTGGCCAGAGCTAAAGCAGATTCACAACTTAAAATAAATGTGCAGTAGGCTATCAGAAATTGTTGGGTCACTGCATGTCTGCTGACCCCAGTGTCTCTCCTCAGTTGGTTTCCTTACCATGAAGAAGTCGGACCCTGGCTTCATTAGCTTGTACAAATGGCCAGAGTGAACAGTTACAATGGTCTGACATTAAGCAAGTTAAAGTTGTGACTGGACCCAAGGTGTGGTGATTAAGAAGACTGGTTCCTCTTCCAGTGGACCCCGGCTGAATTCCTAGCATCACATGGTGGCTCACAACTGTCTGTAACTCCCATTCCAGGGTATCTGATGCCTCCTTGGGCACCGGGCACACATGTAGTACACAGACATACAAATGTGCAGGCAAAATACCCATATATATAAAATCTTTTGAAAGTTAAATTTAATCTACAATCTCCCTTAGTTACCAACAGCAAAAACCCAAAGGTTCTCACTACTTCCTGACCTACTTTTTAAACTACTACAGAAAACTTTGGTAAAACCAAAGGCTGTGGAGCCCTCTGTAGTTTGGACTATGTTGAAACACAAAAGGTGCCGAGGGCCATGTCATAAGAACAGCAGATGGTAATTAATAATCAAGGTGTCAGCCAGCAGGGAAAAAAAACCTCTGACGGGAAAACCTTGCTAGGCAAGGCCACAAGGCTACAGACTCCAGAGTATCTTCTGCTTCCATCTGTGACCTCACATGTACTGCTGCACATCTCCCTGTATGGAGTATGTTCACTGTTGACAGAGGTTTCTGTCCCACGGCCTTTCAGTCCCAAAGAAACACACAGGCCTACATTAATTATAAACTGGTTAGCCTATTAGCTCAGGCTTTTTATTAACTAATTCTTACATCTTACATTAATCCATAGTCTTGTCTGTCTTAGCCACATGGCTTGGTACCTTTCATCAGCGAGGCATTCTCATCTTGCTTCCTTTCTGGGTGACGACTGCAGACTGACTCCTCTTCCCAGAATTCTCCTGTTCTGGTCGCCCCATCTATACTTCTTCCCTGGCTACTAGCCAATCAGCACTTTATTAAAATACAAGTAACAAATCTTTACAGGGTACAAGATTATTGTGCCACAGCAGTTCATCTCATGAATACATCCTAACTAGTGGGCATTTTTATCTGTGGATTGTCAAGAAGATGACCCCTCCTTAAGTTGTATTGTAATGTTAGCTTACACAGAGTTCTGATGAATAATAATACAAAGAAATGCTATGCAGTCAAGGCTTAATTTCCTCCTAGGAGCTGCTTTAGATCACAGTTCAGGTTGACAATTAGGAAAATAGCTGAAATTCCCCAGCTGCCAAAGCAACCTAATTGCCGAATGCAGTTTCTTTGCTAGGTCTGGCTGATACCCTAGGATAATCATTAACTCTCTGCACAAATTCCTAACCTCGGTTTTATAATGCCGGTATGTATCCTAAAGACTCAAAGTTCAGCCAGCTAACTTCTTTATGTGTAAAAATGTTGGGTCCTGGAATTGCATAAGTGACAGGAACAAAAACAAACAAACAAACAAAAAAGCTGAGTTTTTGTTCAGAAACACTGCAGGGAAAGATATTTTAACTGGTTGGGGCTACAGAAAATAATTTGATTTTCTAGCCTCAAGAGAGACAAGTTTCTTTTTATGGTCTTGAGTTACATGCAGGACAGAAAGTGATTTCGAGATTTAAAATGCTATTAGTGTCGCTATGCCTTAGGTAGTGCTGACTGAGCTGTTTGTAAAAGATTTATGGAACCTGAGGCCATACTAAACAATTTAGGACACCTCTCTCTCTAAACTTGACACTCTTGAGTCCGAGAAAGCCCAGCATTTATGACTTCTGATCACAGATGTTAGTTCAGAATATTTATACACTCAGAAGGATAGGTTATAGTACACAATTCCTTTATTAGACTCCTCAGTAGTTTAGGTTTCTACACTCCTTATAAGAGTACCTCTCTAGATAGATAACAAAATGATTCATTCTTTACTGCCATAATTGGCAGCCTGCCAATGAAAGAGTTGGCTCAGAAAAAAAATGTTCCTTCCTCACTCTGTGACAAGTTATTTAGAAATACTGCTTGTGAGTTATCAGGATGACTCTGTTTTTAATCAATTAAGAATTGGAATGTGATTTCTGTGTGTGACTCCTATATAGCCTGAAAGATTTTATTGGGTATATAAGCTGTGAAGAACAAAAGAAGAACAACATGAGAGAATTAAGAAAGGAATCGTAAGTGTCTCAGATTTAAAAAGTTTCAGATTGGGCTTCGCTGTGAACTTTCCCTTTGAGCCCTGTGTGCAGTTTGGAAGCTGGTTCTTTCAGGCTGTGTTAAGAATGGTTGGAATATCACTAGGTCACCTCTTTGGCAGACCCTCCCGATGTTCCTGATGTTCCTGCTCCGAGAGTTTGTGCTGCCAGAACACAGCTGGAACCAGCCCAAGGCAGCCTTGCTTTCTCACAGATGAACTGCTAGGATTGGTAGAAAGACGCCACAAAGTGGTGTTAGCGCCAAGGTTTATGTCCTTAAGGATCACCTTCCTCTTTTGGGAAGAGACAAAAACCTACATAACCACGTGGTCACTCTGACTTGTGACTGCAAAGACTGGTAGAGTGCCTTTACATTCTATGCTCCCCAGCTCAACGCAGGCCACTGCTAAGCAGGGGCCGTTCTTCTGTCTGACACTGTGGAGGTCAATCATCTGTGGTGATTGTATAAATAAAAATCTACAGACCCTGATTTTAAGTTTTAATGTTCATGCTATTAAACAAATTAGACTAATTTCAGTTAAGAATCTTTTTTTTCTACAGACCATGTTAGAGTAATGTAAATAAATTTAGAAATGCAGAACCTTTACAAAGACATTTATTAACACATTAAATTTTATTTAGAACTTTGAAAGAAACAAATTCAAGACAGCTCTTCCAATAAGTAACAAAATAATCTATTGTTTAAATTCCTTCTCATCAAGATGACTTTATTCCATAACACAGTTTATCAGCTGGGCAGGTTTGCTCTTACCAGTTAAAACGATCATGTGCCAGTCACTAGTCTTTAGTTTTTTCTGTCTGTAAACACAACTAGGATAGCCAGGTCGTAACTGAATGTGAGATAATTCAGCCCTGAACCTTCAAGAGCAAGTCTGAAATAGTATAAGTGCCTGGAACACCTTTTGGTGGCTTTAACGGCTTTCTTGAAGGTGTTACCACAAAGTCAGCACTGTGGAAGGACCCTCAGTTTCTATTATAGCGCTCTGTCTTCATTCTGAACTTAAGGTATCTTCCTCTTAGAAACTAGAGTGTTCTCACAGCAAGCTTAATAAGTTAAAAACAGGAAACATCAACTAGAAAGCAGAATAATTCTCCCATTAAGGCGCTCTTAAAATTAATGCTTACGGGTCACACATGGCGAATGCCCACATACCCAAGGCCCTGTGTTCATACATCAGGAATAGCAAATGCCACAGAATGCATTTTTCATAGTGAAGTTTGCTGAGCAATAATTCAGCATGAGAAAGCCAAAGGAACATTGGAGACATTTCTGGTTCTTTATCCACTGGTTAAGGCATAGGAATTGAGCCGGGCAGTGGTGGCGCACGCCTTTAATCCCAGCACTCGGGAGGCAGAGGCAGGCGGATCTCTGGTCTACAGAGCTAGTTCCAGGACAGGCACCAAAAACTACAGAGAAACCCTGTCTCGAAAAAATCCAAAAAAAAAAAAAAAAAAAAAAAANAAAAAAAAAAAAAAAAAAAAAAAAAAAAAAAAGGCATAGGAATTGAGCATGCCAAGGCTTCTGGTACCCTCTAAATCAGTGGTTCTCAACCGTCCTAATTCTGCGACCCTTTAATACAGTTCTTCATGTTGTGGTTACCTCCAACCCTAAAATTCCTTGTGTTGCTACTTTAATAGCTGTAATTATGCTGCTGTTCTGAACTGTACTGTTAATATGCTATAGAAACCCATGGCAGGGTCACTACCCACAGGTTGAGAACCACTCCTCTAGCTCCTTGTGCTCCTAAAGAGGTGGCTTTGTAGCAGTTACTAGTCTGTGTCACCTTCCACTGTGGGGACTCTGGACGTTCTAGAAAAGCCTGGCAGAAGTCCTTGAGATTTGCCGGGCTCACTCAGCAGGCTGGTTGTGAAAATGCGACTAGTCAAGTGTTCTGACACCTCCTCTTCATTTCTCACACCTCTGCCAACGAGACGACTATTTTGTGAGATTCTTTGGTAGGACAGCTTTGACTTAATCTGATTTAGGGAATGAAATTAACAGCCACATCTCATCCCAGGTTGAATTTTATGACCAACTCCCTACCTGCACACATGCTAAGGTACTACACGGAAACGTTCAGTGTGTCATTCCTCTTCGCGTGTACAAATAGAGGATTAGGGAGGAACAAATGCAACCTTCAGTTCCATCTTAGGATCCCCAGAACAAATCCCATTTTCTTTTATCTCAGTAAGGAAGAAATAGCTAACTTTGTAGAAAAATGCCCTAAGAGGATCAGAGTTAAGTAAACACACATGGAAGTATAAGGCAGGGCGAGACCAGGAGACCACGAACAGCACCTTCCCAAGCTGGGTCAGTGCTGTGTACTCTGATAAAGACAAGCAGTGGTTTAGACATCAAGGGAATCAAGCATTAGTGTGACTGACAGGTACAGCTACACCAGGGTTAAGGGATCGGTGCTAAGTGCCGTATTTGTTGATGAAATGTAGCTAAGATCATGCAGATCAGAATGTTTCTGGAAAAGCTTTAAGTGTGGTACATGCGTGCAAGGTCGTGGAAGTTTGGGGAAATGTTCAAGGCCAGTCTTGCCTATATCTCTGGATAGACAACTTTTTTTTCTCAGCCCCTGGCGTCACCTGGAATGCGGCAATTACAGACTGTTCAGCACACAACTTCAGGCTCTCACTCCATGTTGGTCAAGGTGGGAAGGTGTGCAGGTATTGAGCCTGTCTGTGACGTCAGCTCACCAAGCTCACTGATGGTAGTGGTGAGAAGAGCATCCTGAGACACCACTGTTTTGCAAGCAGTGTCTGTGGAATTATTCTCCTGCACGGCAGGCACACTGCCTTGAACTTCCAATATGTTGTTAAAATGGCTATTTTCACCAAAAGATAATAATCTACCTGAAAGTTTGGGTGATACACATTCATCATCGGGTTGTTCTGTCGTATGTCCTTCGTCATTCTTAGGTGAGCCATCTACAATGACAAGGAAAGACTTCCACGGCGTATTCTTATCATGTATCTACAAATAAAACAAAAGTCACTTTATGTGTTTCTAAGTCTCCCAACTTACAGATACTTATTAGTAGTACATGCATCTTCTAAAACAACATTTTCTCTTCAGGGCCTGGCACCATGGCACACACCCATTAAAAAAAAAATAATCCTAGCATATGGGAGTCAGAGACTGGAGGGTCATGCTGGGTCCGAGGTCAGCCTGGACTACAGAGCTAGACTATCTCTCAATCAAAAAGTAAATATTTAAAAAAAATGATTTTTAATTACAAAAAAGAGCAAGCACTCCCTGGCTTTTAAATATGCTTTCTAGTGGATCACCCTGGCACTAATTACTAAATTAGTACAGCAGCCTCTGCAAGGAAGTATTTGGCATAGACTTTGCAGTAGGGGGCCTTAGCCTTCCACCTTATTCCCTGGATGTCACTGCAAGACATTCAGGAGAGAGAGAACCTTTGACTCTCTGGATGGGAAGAATGACAGGTATTCAGGGCTAGCAACCTAGACCAGAAGGGCTTTGTTTTTAAACAGCCTACCCATCACTTACCGAGGTGTGTCTCCGGAGAGTGGACTTGTCAGTAAATGTTCGCCCACACGCATTGCACATGAACGGTTTCTCTCCCGTGTGGATGCGATGGTGGCGCTGGAGGGCATTTACCTGGGTGAACTGCTTCCCACACTGGTCACAACAATAAGGCCGCTCTCCTGAACACAGAGAGAAGGAAACTACTCAGTCAGTTCTCAGTCCACTTTATTTAACGCTGGATACACATCTGCATAGCCTGAGCACTCCCCAAAGGGAAAGCTACACCACAACGACTCAAGGAAGCGGCACCTAGTAGAGATGCCAATCAACTAGACTGTAATACCCAAGAACTTACAACTGTACCAAGAATAGGTCAGTTCTGTGCAGGCAGCTGACACTGTGTGAAATACAAACCAGTAGCCATAGTAATACACTGTCCTAATAACAAATAGCATGTTGTGTGCACGTGTGCACAGTAACATCCATTCTTTCTCCCTGTTTATATCGGAAAGACTTGCATCCATTCAAGCATAACGCTCAAGCTGTCATACCACAGGAAGCTGTGTGCCCTCTCAATAAGCACCCCATGCTGCACACAGACTGTCCCCCATTTGCATACTAAAGTGTTCTCGATTTTCACTTTATCAGAACCAGAAACTGGGCCTGTACAGTGGCTCAGTAAGTAAAAGTACCTGCCAGCAAACTGGAAGATCTGAGTTCAATCTCCAGGACCTTGATGAGAGGCAAGAACCAACTCCCACAGTTGTCCTCTGACCTCCACGTGTGTCAAGGCACTTAGTCACCCACACACATACATGCACAAAATAAACTTAATTAAAACAACAACAAGACAAACAAAAACTATAAACTCAAAAGCATAAAAGCCATGTGGGAAGCCAGGCCAGTAACCCAACACTTGTGCGGTAGAGAGAGGATGATCAGGAATTGAATGTCATGGGCTACAGAGCAAGTTCAAGGGCTGTATGAAAATCTGTCTCAAAAATGAAAACATAAAAATAGGGGTCCGCAAATTAATATAGTGGCACAGTACTCATATAGCATGTACAAGGCTATATGGCCAATCAAAAGCCCAGGAGGGAGTGAAAAGTTTAAAAATACTACCATATATAATTATACTTTAACTTAAAAATCACTTTAAAAATGTGATTATAGCCAGGTGGTGGTGGCACACACTTTAATCCCAGGCAAATGCAGGCGAATCTCTGTGAGTTCAAGGCCAGCCTGGTCTCTAAGAGCTAGTTCCAGGACAACTAGGGCTGTTACACAGAGAAACTGTCTCAACAAATAAACAAATAAATAAAGTCACTCTAACAGAGTTTGACCATTTTCTCCTAAAGCTTCAATTCGGAATGAATTTGAAATGTGCCTCACAGTGTTGTGTTCTTAATTCTCAGGCTGCTCACTATTTGAAGGCTATGAAATCTTTACAAACTGGCTACTTCCTGGGTGGCTGAAGGAGGTTAGTAGAGCAGATCTTTAAGATTATACCAGCCTCTGGTTCCAGCTAGTCCTCTCTAGTCTATACAATATGAGGATCCCTAATTTCCTGATGCCTTGAACCTGGCCATGCGAGAAGGAAGCTGGGAAACTAGGAGCCACTATCAGCACCCCCCCTCCCCCTCGGGAAGTTAATATAGTCACAGCACACCAAACAACACTCTCCAAGTGGCTTTGTAATACATCTAAAACTTGTGAACTGTTTTCTTTGCCAGACTGAACTCTTCCCTGGCACTGTGCAGCCATACCTGTGTGGATTTTAGCATGCTGGTAAAGGGAATTCCGCTGGGCAAAGGTCCGCAAACACACTTCACATTTAAAGGGTTTAGATCCAGTGTGGATTCTATTATGGTGTTTCAAGTACTCCTTAGAAGCAAAACTCTTGCCACATGTCTCACACATGAAAGGCTTTTCACCTACATGAGAAGATGAGACAAAAGTAGACATAGTCATTAAGAACCCCTTCTGGTCTCCTCTCTACACCGTGGCACGCAGCACCAGACACTTCCTAATTAAACATCAAACACATTACTCTTGCTACTTGCTAAATGTGGTGACTATCCTGGGAAATCCAAGCAGCAATCCGCTGGACTAGAATCAATGATCACTGTCCGGACAGCTCAAAGTTAATAAATTTCGGTACTGAAAATAAGAAAATTTTTACAACTTTGGGGGTTTGTTGGATTATTTTCAATAGTGTTTCTGTAGCTCCTTATCAGAACAAACGTCCCTCACAATGGATTATCAAGCAGCTTCTAGGCTGGCACACCAGTCTACTTGACCAGACTGCAGGGCAATTTCAATGTTGTAAGTTCTCTGTTCATTCTTCCAACTCACTCATGGAGTCAACTGGTGTGCTCCTCATTTTACAAACATTAAAACACTGGCCTTCATAAAGTGTTAATACATTAATAGCCATATACAATGACCAACTCTAATGAAATCTGTGACATGCCGCTGACTCCTCCGCAGCTTCCAGTGGTGTTCTGCATTCCTGGAACACATGGTCCACACCTCCTCTGTCAGGGCGGCCAGTGTGAGTGCTTAGATATAGACAGTGCAAGCAAAGCAAGGCCTGGATGAGTGAGTACAGTACACGCTGATGGACTGGGTTCTGTGTCCCTGTTTACATCAAAATTTCAACCACAGGACTGCAATGCTGAGCTAGAATAAAGCCAACTTAAAATAGAGGTAATCTCCTCTCTAAATATGATTATTTATCATGTAAGTATTTGCTCCTGGTTTTGCAACAGTTGGCACTGACCATGTTTAAATGTTCATTGTTACAGTCAACATTCAAGCACAGATGTGCCCATAATTCAAGAGCCCTGCCTCTCAGACCAGGTCATGAGTAGGGGCATGGATTTCCAGCCCATTGGAACATTTCCTTGCAGTTGGTCCATCATGTTGTTCCCAATTGTTATTAAACACAGCAAGAAGAGAGCTGATCACACAGCTTTCTCAGATTTTGGATAATTTGTTTAGGACAGACTCCTAGAGATGAAGTTACAATAGGAACTGTTTCATACCTCTAGGTGTCTAAGACCTGTGTGCCCTATTTTAGCACCTACTGCCACAGACCATGCCACTTGTACAGCAGCACTGCAGGCAGCAGGTTGGTCTGCAGTCCTCTCTTACTAGATAGAAAATCTTCATATAACCTGTCCTGCCATGGTGGATGCCAACTTCTAATAAGCAACTGCAGCTTTCTTCTATAGCTAGGAAAGACAGTCAATCACAACAGCGTGGGTATTTACCTGTGTGGCACCTTTTATGATAAATCAGCATGTGGTTCTGAGTGAATCTTGCACCACATTCATCACAGATAAAAGGTCTTTCCCCTGTATGAATTCTGAAAGTACAACATTCAGATGATAACTCAGGGTATATTTCAAAGGTCACTTTGCAATACAATCTCCAATTTCCTCCGTATTGTGCAAAACCATTTCTTCCAAGAGAGCTGAGAAAACTGACTGATGGGACAATCAAGAGTTCACCATATGCTTGGTGGTGGTGGCCCATGCCTTACACCTTTAATCCCAGCACTAGGGAAGTAGATACAGGTGAATCTCTGATTTTGAGGCCAGCCTGGTCTATAGAGCAAGATCCAGGATGGCCAGGGCTATACAGAAAAACCCCACCTTGAAAAAAAAAAAATAGTTTACCATAATCCCAACACAAATGGAGTTTCCGTACAAGACCCTACGATGCTATCTCCACTTAGTTCCACATTCCAGAGTAGAGCCACTGAGCAGCTCCTACATCCCCCCTCTGCCTATTCATGCTGTGCAGCACTGGAGGCAGAAAGTGCCTTTGGATACTTTTCTATTAAAGGGTATCACTTAATATTTGAAGCTTCCTCATTTGGAATAAGCTTAGGAACTACTGCTGACAAAGTACCATCTGACCAAACATTTTGCCATCATTTCCTAACACATGACCAGTCTCGCCAGCCTAAAGAGAGAATCTGCTCTCAGATTGCTGAGAAGCACACAGGATTATTTCAGTTACAGACAGAGTGGTATGGCAATCGCCATGATCTGCTGAGTACACTCTATACAAGCACTTTGAACTCAGGCAAAGTGAACATTGACAGCCACCATGCTCCCTCCCCACAGTCTGTTGTAGGTTGGAAGGCAAAGGCAGAATACAGTAGAAAATTCAACTGCTCAGCAGGAATGAGAACATATATACTTACAACTATAACGAGACACATGCCTTTGATCCCAGCACTTGGGAGGCAGAGGCAGACCCATCACTGAAAATCTAAAGCAAGCACAGTCTACACAGTCAAGTTCAGACCAACAAGGACTACACAGTGAGAAAGTGTCTAAACCAGTGGTTCTCAACCTTCCTAATGCTGTGACCCTTTAATACAGTTCCTCATAGTGTGGTGACCCCCAACCACAAAATTATTTTCAATATTACTTCATTATTGTCATTTTGCTACTGTTACAAATTGTAAACATCTGATAGCAACCTCTATGAAAGGGTCATTGGACATATCCTCACAAAAGGGGTTACAACTCATGGGGCAAGAGCTGCTGGTCTAAAACAACAACAAAGAAAATCCTGTAAGGAAACAAATATGAGAACTCACTATCCACCTATAGTCTGAAAACAAATAGAAAGCATTGTTCAGAGGCTGGAGAGATGATGGCTCAGCAGGCAAGGGCACTTGCTGCTCCGGCAGAGGACCAGCATTCAGTTCCCAGCATCCACATGTAGCTCACAACCATTGGTTACTTCAGTTCCAGGGGATCTGACATTTGCCTTCTGACCTCTGAAGGCACCAGGCACTTACATGGTACACATACGTACACGCAGACCAAATGTCGTATACATGAAATAAAAATAAATACCTTTAAAAAAATGAAAAAATGTTGTCTGATTCTTAGCTCCCAATTCTCAGATCAGCCACTGAAAGACCGCTAGAGAAGTGTCTGCAGCTCTACACCTCATCTCACAGAACTTCAGTGGAACTGAGTGAAGACAAAGCCCAGCTCTTGTTCAAATACAGAGCATCTTGAGATCTCAGGCCACCTGGAGGCCAGGCACATAGCACCCAGTGTGCTGGATGGTTCTGCTGTACCCTGGCCTCTATGCTTGGAAGGGCCAAAGAACCATTTCCCAGACCTCCACGCCTCCAAAGAGGATTCAATGTTGCCTCAATTTCCCAAGTCCTAGATAGCACTAGTGGGGAAACCAAGACCCACAGACACAAACATGCTGGTCCACGCCCTACAGCCATCTCCAACCACCCCCTGCACGTTAGCACTCGGGAACCCTCTAGTACTTGGGAAATCACATCCCACATCCCTGCACACAGGACGGCCCTGCTATAGACAGCAATGTTCCCAGGCAGCCGCACCTCATGTGGGTCTTCAGCGCTGAGGGCTGTGAGAACTTGGCCTCACACTTGGTGCAGCCATAGGGCCTGTCGCCCGTGTGTGTGCGCTCGTGCATCCGCAGAGAAGTCTTGGAGCTCAAGCCCTTGCCGCACAGGTCGCAGCGGTGCCGCTCGCCTCCACCCTCGTGCACCTGCAGCACATGCCGTTTCACGTCCTTCTTACGCTTGAACTTCTTTGCACACAGCTCACATGGAAAGTGGCGCTCGCTGCTGTGCACGTGGCGCTGGTGGCTCTTCAGGTTGCAGCGGTTGGCAAAGGTCTGGCCACAGGTGTCACATCGGTACACGACTTCGGTGGCCATGCCGTGGTTGTGCCTGATATGTTTCAGGAAACTCTTCTCATACAGGAAGGCCTTCTCACAGACTGTGCACTGGAAGTTACTCCTCTTCTCCCCATCCTTCCCTTCTTCACCCTCCTTCTCCCCCTCCACTTTCTGCAGGCTTTCCTCCAGTTTCACACCAGCAGGGGAAGCCTCACTTTTGGAAGCTGGTTCCGTCCCCGTCCTTTCATGGGCTGCGCTTTGGTCCTGGGGACACCTGTCATTCTCTGCAGCTTCCTCCTCCGCAATTGTCTGTTGCTCTCGGAGCCTTCTTGTATATTTCTTTTTAGGGATATCCACAAACACTTTTCTTCCAGCTAGCCTCCCACTAAGTCTTCTGATTTTAGGGTAGGGAGGCCTAGCCACATCTTTCTTCTTGTCTAATTTCTCCTTGCACTTCCTGGATGGTATTTCTGGCAAGAGGCCATTATCAAAACTCTCTATTGGATAGTTAGAGGTATCAGCAAGGCCACTGGAGTGAGCATCCTCCCCTGATACGCTTGCTTGGGAGCTGGGGGTCACACTCACCTGGGGGCCACTGCTGGCCTCCACCTCCTGAGACTCAGGGAAACTCTGTGATTCCAGAAGGACTGACTGCAGCATCTGCTTCTTGAGCTGAAAGCATGTTTCAGTCAGGTCCAAACACTTTAGCTTTTCAGCCACTTCCAGCATCCGCTGCACCCGATCCTCTTCTACCTGCACCCTGGCCGTATAGACAAACTCCAGAAATGAAGCAAAGTCAACGACCTGAAGTTCATTTAAGCAGACATTAGTCCTGGTACCATCCACACTCTTCTCATTCAGGAACACCTCCTTAAAAAACTTGCTGGTGGCTGCCAGCACTGCTTTATGGGCCATGAAGTCTTCACAGACACCCTGATACTCTACTCTGACTGTGACGTCACAAAGATGGCCCAGAAGTCGGAGCTCGTGCATCTCATGCAGAAGGTTCAATGGTGAAGATTTGGATTCCAGCAAAACTGTGCCGCTTTCCATCTTTCTTTTAAAAACAGCTTTGAAAACAAAAACAAGAATAAGCTCATATATGAATCCCTGAAGAAAAGGGACTTGAAATTATCAGGGTTTAGATTAATTCTTGAGAAGATAAATGGTAACTAACAAACCCAACTTTTCTCATTGAGAGATTCAAATCACAGCTGTATGTGGTGGCATGATTTATAGCCCCAGGTACAATCCAGTATTTAGATGGATAAGACTCAGGAAGATAAGAAGTTCAAAACCAATCCCAGCTACACAGTAACTTTGAGGCCAGCCTAAACTATGTGAGAACGCATCTCAAAACAATGAAAGCAAACAAACAAAACGCATAGACAAGGCTAGAGAAGACAGCTCAGCAGCTAAGAGTACATACTGATCTTGTAGGGGACCCAAATTTAATTCTTAGTACCCACAGTGGGTGACTCACAGCTGCCTCTCATTCCAGTTCTAGGGGATCTAACCTCTCAGGTACCTGTAGTCACATGCACATACCTCAAACAAGATATACACACATTATTAAAAACAAATCTTTAAAAAAAAATCCACACATAGACACACAGAGTAAAATTATGCTCCACTTCTTGGCAGTTTTCTAAAGTTCCTGAATGGGTTTCATGAGATAATATTCATGAAAACAATACTGGCAAGACTTCCCCCCAGTGATAAACACAAATGATTGATTAGTTTGCCTTTAGTGAAACTCAGGGCAAAAATTTGCTTACCAAGGTCATTTCTAATCTACTAAAAGACATACGCCAAAGATACAGGAAAATCTGTGTCTAGTTCTTTGAACAAGAAATAGTCATTTGATAACCGCTGCCACCACTGAAAACTGTTGCATACTTCCTGGGAAAATAGTTCAAACACCTGTCCTCATTTGCAATGTCCTTAAATGCCTGGTAAACAGAGATACTCTCCTGAAATAATTCCGGTTCCCTGGCATTTCTAAACTGTGCTACCTTGAGCAGGCTAAAGTCTCTCCGAACCTCCACTTCCTCCTCTTCGAAGGCCCAGTTATCCCGAGGTTTTAAGGAACACAACACTGCAAACACTTCCAGCTGGCCTGACATCTGCTATCTTGTAGCGGACTTCCTACATACCTGAAAAGGTACTGAGGGAGCCTCATCTTACAGGTGACAAGCTAGGAAGAAAATCAGTTATTTGGCTGATGGGGTCTTGAAACTAAACCTCATAGCTTTCATGGTCTATGTTTAACTGAAGTTTCTCAAAACACCCCTCACCCCAGCCTCACCAAATGAAAGTTGTTTCCCCTGAAGTTGCCATATCCCCCAGGACTCCTTTTGACTCTAAAATGCTAACCCAGCTTCATGTCTTCTGCTCTGTGGACTCTTCACTGAGACCTCTGTCCCTGAATCTATCTTCCCTTTCTAGGTTCCATTTGGTTTCCAAGTCTCCTCCATCCAGAGCACTCCTGCTGATCTTCACCATTGCCTGTCCATCTCATTCAAGAGACCACTACCCATAGTACCCAGGCTCAAACACAGAAAAGACTCTCCTAGGGAGGTGACTGTAAAATCAGCACCTGTGGAAGGACTGAAGGGGCCTCCACAGGAAAACAGTAGCTACTTATCAAGGAAACTTAACTAAAAGAGACGTGCCTGAAGCAGTAGTGGTGAGCCAATGCTCTTCAGAGTTCCCGTGAGAAGTCCATGAATATGAAAAAAAAATTGTATGCTTATAGCCTATACACATATTTCTGATTGTATGAGAACTGATAGCTGCTTTAACCCTTTGCCCTGCATTCTCCCAGACAAGGGAACATTTTGAACAGTAAATCCCCTAGTTCGAGCTCAGGAAGATCTTCCTGAAATGCCATAAATCTCCAAGCTCAAACTCAGAGGACAGCACTCCCTAAATACTAAGACGCCGACACACCGTAAATCCCTGTATTCTCTGTCCTATGCATAACCTTTGACTATTAAAAAAAAAGCTTATATTTCTTTCTCGGGGAACCAAATAATTTTCTAGCTAGTTAGAAGTTGTCGTCCGTCCCCCTACCCCCGCCCCACTGCTCCATTATTTATTATTTTTTGAATAAAGTTGCTTCTAGTTAGTAGACTTCCGTGGTCTGCTCCCCGCTAATTGCGTGATTCCAGGACCCAACACCAGGTCCCAGCGTGGGGACAAAGGTATAGACCCCTCTCTACCTGATGCTCACATGGCTAGCCTGACTTCCTAACACCTCGTTCTTCCCCCTAAAGGGAAAGTCCTTCCAGCAGACCTGGCAGCGACTTCGCCATCAACCAGGGAGACCATGAGCAGATTTCCTCGTTTGCCTTCCAAATGGGGGGGGGGGGGGCAGCCACCAGTCATGTTGAGCGGCTATTTGTGGCCTGGTGACAGCTGTGTTCCACTGACACGCATTGGCTTTCTGCCGCCTCTGGGAAGGCCGAGCATCCTCACCAAGGTCGCTAAGTAGCCTTGGGGTCTGGACTTCCAGGCTAGGCCTCCAGGAGATGCTGCTCTCCGCAGCGTGCCCACTCTACAGGGATCCTGGCTCTCACGCAGGGTGTAAAGTCCTGGTGGCTATGGCCTCTCTGACTGCACCATCTCCGTCCCCACTGTGATCCCCCAGAGTCCCAGACGACCAAGGATCTTCCAAAGCTACGGGGAGAACGAACTCTTGCGGCCAAGGTCCAGCCCCTTGTCCCCGATTCCGGCCTCCAGAGCCCAAAGGGACCAGACTACTGCTCTCGGCCTGGGTCCCCACAGCCCGCCGTTCCAAAGGACAGCATGCGGAGGATAACTACTAAGTCAGACAGTCCGCAACACACTCACCTCGCAGCCGGACCCGTACCCCTGGAACAGTCTCGCAGGAACAGCAGCACTTGGGGACCACGGAATGGTTGCCACGAGCGCGCCCCGCCCCCTAGTGGGCTCCGCCCCCCGCAGGCGCTGCGCGCGCAAGTCCAGCTGCAGAGGCGGTTCCGGCCGTTGTGCTGTGCGCTGCGTGGTCCTACGTGATTTGGGGCAGGGCGACTGGCTGGTAGCTCCGGGTTGTGTACCTGCAGCAAGCCAAGGCCACGCCTGTGCAGAAGACAGCAATGGCGGGGGGGGGGGGGGGGGGGGGGGGGGGGGGGGGGGGGGGAATGTTAGTTGCCCAAGTTGGAAATACCTGGGGCTATGTAGCTGCGTTCTTGTCCTCAGCTGGTCGTTACTGCAGAGTAAAAGGGACAACTGGAGCAGGAAACCAACCAATCACAGAGCACCCTGACTGTGAACCCCAGTGCCAGTGAAAGAAACACACCCTGTATTTGAGGCCTGGGTCAGGAAAAAAACATCTTTATCCCTAGTGTCAAAGAAACACACTTTGTCCCTAGGATCAGTCCGTGAAAGAAATATGCCCTGGTCCTAAGATTAGAATCAAAAAGCTAAGAAGGACCAGTGAAAGAAATACAGTTTGGCCATGAAGGCAGAGCCATCTCTGCCCTTGACCAGCTAAACTGGCCAATCCCTGAGCAGGAAAAAACTAACCAATCCCCCTTATTCCTGGAAAAACTGCCCCTAAGAAGCCCTATATAAGCCTCTCCACCCTTCAGGGATTCCTCCTTCCCAAATCTCTTTCTCAAAAGAGTGTTGGATGATGACCTTCATTGGTCAGCTCAGAGTAGAAGAACCTGGCGGGATGTCCCTTCGGGGACTGAGCTGAAAAACCTTGCTGAGAGCTCTCTAGGGGTCCTCAGCAAGGCCAAGCAGAACAGAAGAACATTGCTAGGATGTTCCTTAAGGGAGCTGAGCAAGGCCAGCTGGAGGAAAAGTAGTTACAACTTTTCCTCCAGCTGAAGAGATTGCTACATTTCTGCAGCTGGCTTCCCTTTAGCAGAGTGTTAGCAAAAGAAACATCTTGGGCAGGAGAAGAAGCAGATAGCTCTGCTAGGAAGCTCCCATAAGGGAACAAAGCAGAACTCAGCTGTAGTGGCTCTCCAGCGCTGCTCTGCACACACTCTTAATGGATTTGTAACTTATAATACCTTTGCTAGAAAACACTGACTGCTTAGGCCCACAAAGTTGTTATAGAAAATCTGCCTTCCCAGTGAGAAATCACTCTGTACACTTAGAGATCAATGAAGATAAAGCTCTTTACAAAAGTACCTGACAACTGGGGCTAAGGCCCAAGTAAGGGTTAGCACCAACAAAGATTTCATTAGCTTACTATATCTATATCTGTATATATTAGGCTTATGCATTTTACATATGCTTTCATCCTTACATTTCTTTTGGGTTCTGGCCCCAGAACTTTGAACAATTTAAACAGAGACAGGAGACTGCAAAGTCTGGCTGCTTAGGAGATTTACATCTTCTATATCTATATCCAAAGATATATTGTCAGAATTAGTTTGGGCACATCAGTTTTTTGGTTGCTTTGTTTGTTGAATGGTTGTTACCCAGGAGACTTGAAGGCAGCTGTACACTTCATGATGATGTGATTTTGAGCTGCCCCCCTTCAGCTTCCTCTTAGAGATAGTCTTTGACCCTAATGGCTTACCCATCCTGGTGAATACATATTTGCATCCTAGCATCCTAAGTTTTGTTTCTCTCTAACAGACCTAATTAGCAAACTATTTATCTCGGGTATTTAGCAGGCAGCTCCTTTAGCTAAATTCCACTTGTGTGATTTAATGTCTCCTATGCAAATCTCATAGTAAATCCTTTATAATTTTTTTCTACATCAAAGATACCAAAATCTGGATGGAAGCCTAGTCACCTCTTTCTGTGTCTAAGTTACTTTGACTCAGACTTCTGCTTGACTCTGCTGACCTCTCACTTCATTCCCTTTCAGTTAAGTCATTGCCCTAACCTTTCTTCTTAAGATTACCGTGGATTTCAGAGCTACAGACCCATAAGCGGCCTTGTGGCAAGGGACTGAAGCTACTCTCATGTAAGACAGCAGGACAGACCTCAAAGAACCTCTGGAAATCAGCAACAAACCACCAGCAGAATGCTGGATGAATAGAAGAATCCGCTGAAAATGGAGCAGCCTAAAAGCCACTGCATGCAGTCAAACTGACAAAAATGTTAGTGTTTGATACTGTGAGTACAAGAAGTGCAATCTCAGCAGTGAGGGGGAAAAGGGAAAGATGGCTTGTGTTTAGGTGTGTGTAAAATTTTTCTGTTAGTCATCCTGAAGAAGCATGTGGAAGTCAACTATAATGTGTGTTCACTTCAAGGAGCTTATTTTGGTGAAACTTTGGAAACAATCTACACACTCCTAAGGAGACAGGTGAACAGTACGTTAGACATTGTTGGTCGCATTCCGGAACACCCAACAAGCCGGATCACGCCGTCCATGGTGAGCAAGCACCGCCGATAGGAGTACCCCGGCGGCCTGGGACACCGCTTTGTCCCTGCTCCAGGAGACTCGGCAGCTAAGACTCAGGGGCCCAGATCACGTGCTCGGCCGCTGCGTTTCCCAGGGAACCGTCTTGCAATTGGTTCTGCGTGGTCGCGGAATGATGACGCTATATGGTCCTAAAGGTCGAGTGTACCGGCGATACTACCACCTTAACGGGTGAGTTGCTACGGCGGTGTTCCGTGTGGATGGAGGAACCACATAGTAGTGTCGTGATGTGCGAGTCCCAGGCTCCAAAATCCTGCCAGTGATGTTACTGTGTCCAGCGTGTCAATTATGGGTCAGTTCAAGAGTTGAATTTCAACAGGCCACAGGTTTTTACCTGCTTTAAATTTGGGCACATTATCACTTAAAACTTCACCCAGTACACAACCCGATATAAGCCTTTTCTCACAAGTGCATTTGGTAATGACAATTAAGGTGTGTGTGTGTGTAAAACCATCTTATTTTCATTACTCGCATTGGACTCTTTTTACAGATAACAAATCCACAAGATTCACTCTGACTTTTTAAACACATTAGAGGACTCTTTTTTTTTTTTTTAATTACATTGGGATAAGATCATATGTTGGGGAGATCAGAGAACCGCTTGCAGGTGTCAGTTCCCTCCTTCTCACTATGTTGGTCCCGGTAATTGAATATTAAAATCCTAGAAGCCAGTGCCTGAGAAGCAGCTCTAAATTTTGATCGAAGTTCCTATCATTTTCACGTCTATTATTTCATTTTAAATTCACAAATCAATTACCTTATCAGTATTAAAGCAAGCCACCTTGAGCAGCTCTTGGGATGTCTGTGCTGTTTCTGACTCTTATCCTCCAAGAGCTCCTGCTTTTCTACCTCCAAACTCAAACATTTCATATGAACCCTATCACATAAAGGTCTGTGCAGTAATCTCCTTTGTGGCGATACTAGAATTTTAAAAATAATCATGCTAGTGGACATTGGGAGTCTCGCGATTTCCACTTCACAAAGGATGCTTGTGATGGTGATCTAAGCCAGGTGTGGTGGCACAGGCCAATCTCAGCACTTTCCGTGGAAGGACGTTTTAAAAAGACTGAAAATAAACAGGAGGAAGGCGATCACAGAGAGCAAAAGCCAGCTAAACCGAAAACAGAACCATCACTGACATAAACTCTTTGAAAACTCAGTAAAATTGGTAACTCCCTGAAAAGGCAAACATTACTGATGACAGGAAGACACTTTTCTTTTTTTTTTTTTTTAAAGATTTATTTATTATGTATACAACATTCTGCCTCGATGTATGCCTGCATGCCAGAGGAGGGCACCAGATCTCAGTACAGATGGTTGTGAGCCACCATGTGGTTGCTGGGGATTGAACTCAGGACCTCTGGAAGAGCAGCCAGTGTTCTTAACCTCTGAGCCATTTCTCCAGCCCCAGGAAGACACTTTTCTAATACCAAGACCATGGGTGCAGTTGCATGTGCCTGTAGTCCCGGCTATTCGCTGGAAAGTCAAGAGGAACATGTGAGCCTACGCGTTGAGCAGCCTGGGCAATGTTGTGAGACTCCCCCACCCAATCGTAGGAAACATCTCCTGTATGGACTGTTTCTATTCACTGTACTGTGATCAGCCAGAACATGACCTCACTGGTCAAGGTCTTGTGCTGTTTGCTCACAAATCAATCTTAGTGAGCTGTGGATGCTGGATCCTGCCTCGCAAGTGCTTGGAATGTGGTCCTATGTCCTGTGGCTGACCAGATGATGCCTGAGCAGTACGATTCCCCAAAAGACACTGTACCCCACACCATCCTGGTTGTCTCAGAGTAGCTGGGCCTATGCTACTAATGCTGCTAGCTTTGCCCTGGCCAGGGTCCACCAGAAGAGGATTAGCAGTGGATGGGAAGACGTCACAGTCTCTGGATCAGGATCAAGCTTGCCCACTTTTTAAAATATGTATAAACATTATAATGTGTAATAGTTTTTTAAAAATCATGGTGGTAACGTGAATGTTCACTACTAAAGAAATAGTTAAATAAATGATAGTGCATTTGAATTTAACACCGATTGATACTTGGCTACTGCGATTAATCCATATGTGACATATTAAATATGAAAAACACATGAGACAATCCTGTATATAGTGTGGCTCATAAATGACTCACCTATTTATATAGCTGTAGCACAGACCTTTCCCTTCAACTTCAGACTTCCTACTCAGTGTTTCCTCTTCCAGTCTCCAAAGTACTGAAAATTCAATAATCTAAAAACTGGGTTTAGAGATGTCTATCTTCAAACCTAATTGTGTCCACTTTTCTAGTTAAGTCGTCCACATATGTTGTATGTCTAGAACTGAACTTTAACACCTTCCCTCACCCTAACATCATTTTCTCTCCAATAAGTTTGCCCACTTTTAACAAAAATTAATTTGACTGTGTGGATGTTTTGCCTGCATATATGCCTATGCACACTGGTGAGCCTGGTGGCCAAGGAGGATGGAAAGGGCATCAGACCTGGAACTGGAGTTACACACGGCTGTGAAACACCATGCAGATGCTAGGAATTGATCTGGGTTCTCTGGAAGAGCAGTAAGGCCCCTTCCTGCTGAGCCATCTCCAGCCCTAAGTCGGGCCACTCTGGTTCCCAAAGTCCTTCCCTTCAGGGCCAATCCTAAAGCATTTCTCACCTTTCTTTCCAGGGACCAGGGCATGGGACATGAATTACAGAGGCCGCTAGAGCCTTGGGAACTTGAAAAGAGTTCAGTTTTCTGTCATTACCATGTCCTCATCACTGCTGAGAGCAAAGAAAACTCTGCAAAAATTAACTAATTTACCCTCACTGCTAAATGTAAAGACTGTTTTCTTTTTTCCAACAAGGTAGCACCAGATATAGAGCATCTTGTCTTTTTTATAACAAAATACATGTTATAACAGAATCCAAACTTCGCAATTTGGCAAACACCATAGCAGAGAACTTGAAATACGACTAAAATGAGGATTTGTGATTAAAGCAAACTTTGCCTTTATTGCTCCAAAACAAAATGTGGCTGTTGCAGCGCCAGAAGGCAGCACCTTCTTTCTTACTACTTTTTCCAGGTCCCTGGGTGTGTGCTCTGGTTTGCAGTGTGACAGCAGCCTGCCTGGTGCTGACAGCAGGGTGTGCTCACCTGTTCTTTGTGTGTGAAGTGCACTCTGGTGAGGCTTGAGTGTGCAGGGAGGGCAAAAGGGAGGTGGGTTGATGGAGGGATACAGGGGGAAACCCTGTCAGGGCAGGGAGTAAGGAACAGTAACCTGGAGAACAGAGGTGAAGGGGAGAACTGGAGGACGCTAGCAGAAAGAAGTGAGGTGGAGTGTGGAATGGATATTGAGCAAAGCTTGTCTTTTGAAAGCCATGTTAATTCAGATTCAAACACTCCCAGAGTGCCAGGAAAATCGGAACCTTAAGAATATGTCTGTTCCAAGCCTGGAAAGTGAACACCATTCTATTTTTGCTATTTTGGACAGGATAGAGTTTAAAGACCTTAATTCTTTGACTCCAGGGCATTTGTATCAAGGTGACAGTTTGTGGTACTTAAAGCTCAGCAACATGTTTTTTCAAATGACTGAAACTTCTCATTCTCCTCCATTCTTCTTTCCTGTCTTCCTAAGGGTCATGTTTAGTGTTCCAGGATCTTAAGTGAATTCATGGTAGAAACCTGTTTGCTATTTCACACGTTAGTAGCATCTCAGCCTGAACTTCGAGTTTCATCTTGTCACCAAGCCTGTAGGACTGGTTTGACTGCGCTAGATGTGGCTTTGGAGTTCTATCACAGGTATGACTGGCTGAGACATACAGTTAAGTCGGGCTACTCGGGCAGTTGTGCTCCCCACATGCAGTTGTGGTACTGCCTGAGGACCCTACCTTTAGGTCACATCCAGATGGTCTTGTCACTCAAGATGAAGTGGTCTAGCAGTCAGGAAGTGAAGGTTTAATTGAAGCAAAATACCCCAGTTCAATCCTTCAGCTTCTGCTTCGTTGGCCAGAATCTAATCACATGTCAATCTAGCAATAACTCAGACTGAAAAGTGGGTCCTTTGTAGTTGCAGCCTCTCATGTTCCCTCTAACCTTGGTGCTTCTGGCAGGAGCAGCACTCAGCCATCAGCTAACTCTTCACATTTATCACCAGTCACTCCCATCCCAGGTGCTAAAGGCAAAGCCTACTGTCAGGTTCATCACCTTTTTTATTAATCACACATTAACACAAGGGCTTTTGAAAAATAGTAAAATGCCAATGCCCAGAAATCTTATTTGTGGTGGAGGTGCTGGCTAGGGATATGGCCTAGGACAGGTAATTCGCAATGTTCTGAGGATTCTAGTGTGGCTAGTGCTACCCACAGCGTTCACACTGGGATAGGAGCTCTTCCTGGACCCTTCCACCTCCACAGGTGCTTTCTACTGTTTTCTGCCTGTCAGGCTCCTCCGTCCTTCTCAAAATTTAGACACATAAGGCAGAGAAGCAACATTTAAATTATTTGTCAACTTCCAGAAACAGGGTCTCTACTGTTAAGTAGAAAAATAGCAAGTTTACTACTTTCAAAAGGCAAGGATGACAAACAGGAAAGGGGTTTCTGGGAGTCTAACATCCAGTTTGCAGTGCTGCTGTGACAACAAAAACGAACTGTGTCCTCCACATCCTGAGATCTGAGATTGGCATTCCTCTGCGGAGCTGGGTGAAGCCAAGAAGCCTTTCTCACCCCACTAGCTGGCCCAGTCCTGGAACCGGAAGCAGTCACTTGCTATCTTCCACACTGTATTAGTGGGTGAGGCCTGGGCGGTCAAGATGAAGTTCTGGTTGAAGTCCCGCTGTTTGTTGCCCTCAAACTTCACTGATCCACAGATCACCACAAGGACTGTGGTCTGGCTTGGTGTAGCTTCATCATGGACAGGCTGGCAGTCTACCACGTTGATCTGGAACTCACTGGAAGGCAACATCTCAAAAAACTCATTCAAGGCTTCTTGTCCTGTAACAGCATTTCCATTCCACACTAAGGTGGCCGTGCCCATGTACAGGCGGGACAGCAGCCGCCGCCGCTTGTCCATGGTGGTGTAGTAGACATTGACGAACTCCTCTGCAGCTCTGCAGGCCTGGTCCACGTAGGTCTTGAAATCTACCGATGCCATCTCTGGTTCGGGACAGAGGCCTCTGTCAGAGTGGCTCCTCTGTAGAAATCCAGGGGCTGTAGGACAGAAAAGATGAAGGGAACACATGTCAATATTAAAGTCTATTCTGCTCTGATAAAACTTTTCTCTCAAGTTTTAATTTTTAAAATTATAGTTGTATGTATGTATGTATGTGGCTTGGTACATGAGGTCAGAGGATAACCTGCAGGAGTCTTCTCTGCCCACCATGTGGTACTAGGAATCAAACTCAGGTTGTTAGGCTTGACAGCAAGCACCTACACCTACTGACCATCTGCCCCAACCCTCCTTTCCCATAGCTGACAGAACACTTACATACTGCAGGCAGATGACCTTAGGCTCACACTGGTGCCTATTTATTTTCAAGGCAGCTCTCAATATGTGGTCTTGTCTGCCCTGGAGCTGAGAAATCCATCTGCCTCTCTCTGTCAAGTACTGGGATTAAAGGTGTTCACCACAAAACCCAACAATTGTTGCCTGTTTAATCTTATTAATCCTCAGTTTCCTCATAAAAAAAAAAAGGCAGAGGAGAATTATAATAGACAATGAATATCCAGCACTGAGTTAAGAAGTTTAAGCCAGGGCTTTAATCCCAGCACCCAGGAGGCAGAGGCAGGTGGATCTCTGTGAGTTCAAGAACAGCCTGGTCTACAAGAGCTAGTGCTAGTGCCAGGACAGGCTCCAAAGATGCCAAGAAACCCTGTCGAAAAACTAAAAAAAAAAAAGAAGTTTAAGCCTGGAGTGGAGGGACATACCTAAGAAGCTGAGGCAGTGGCCAGCCTGGAACAGAGAGAGCAAGCCTGGTCTCAAAACACAATAACCTTGTCTCAAAAAAAAAAAAAAAAAAAAAAAAAAAAAAAAAAAACAACCCAAATGAGGAACCAGGTGGTGGGATACGGGTTACCCTGTCACCATCCCTCGGGAGGCAGAGGCAGGTGGATCTCTGTGAGTTTGAGACCAGCCTGGTCTACAGAGCTAGTCCCAGGACAGGCTCCAAAACCACAAAAAAAAAAAATCTCGAAAAAAAAGAAAGAAAAGAAAAAGAAAAAAGAAGAAAAGGAGTCCGATATGTTCATCTTATAATGAAATAAAAATTTTAAAATCCATTTTCTTACTAGAGCACATTTGATGAAAGAACACTGTTCCTTTCTGAAAGCTTGGAATAGATGTGACTGCCTCTAGGAAACCAGGGTGTGGCTCATCTTCATCAAGACAGTGGCTCATGCTGAAGAATTGAGTGGTTACTGGCCCAACAAAGGCTACCAGAGGGAGAGCAGGTGCTGGTCTGGGAAGACTACAAGGAACTAACCCAACAAGGACCCAGAAGATGCAGAAAATGGCAGATTTCTAAGGACAGTGGAGGATAGTGGTCACAATCCCCCAAAAAAGTAAACCTAAGATTGCCTGGAATTTACATCTTTAGCAGTAATGCGCACAATGTTAGACCAGAGGGACCACAATACCATAGCAGAAAGCCCCTTGGATTCAAACATTCTAAGGGGGAGGTGATGGACAATATTTCTATCTGAAAGATCACAGCTCCCTAAAAACATTTAAGTTCCAACAAATAAACAGCATTGAAGCATGATTAATAAAAACCCAGAGACAGAAATTAGGGTTCAACGTGAAGGTCAGAAAAACAAAACAGCCAGCCACTGGCTCTTACTTCTACCTCAGTTCAAAATTGCAATCCTGCCTCCAGGAATCTCAGAATGAGACCGAGAGCTGTCTCCTCCTGTCTTATAACCAATCCTCTCTAGTGCTGGGATTAAGGGTGTGCACCACTACCACCTGGTTTCTGTGGCAAGCTAGTGTGGCTACTGGGATTAAAGGTGTGTGTCATTGCTGCCTGGTCTGTAAGGCGGTCAGTGTGGCTGTTTTACTCTCTGAACTTCAGGCAAGCTTTACTTATTAAAATACAAATGAAATATCACTACACAGTATTTTTTCCATTAACAGAAATGTCTGTTAATTTCTTCTATGATTAAAATTCTCCATTTAAAAGAAACTAATACTGACCAATATTATTGAAAATAGTAGTCACAAGTAATTTGTAGTATTTGTCAATTTCCAGAAACAGGATCTCTACTGAGAAAGCTTAGAACTTGGGTAGTGGACACTTCTTTTTCATTTCAAGTATCTTTATTTCATTTTATTGATACAGGGTCTCTCTATGTACTTCTGGAACTTGCTATGTAGACCAGGCTGGCCTCGAACTCACAGAGGTTCACCTGCCTCTGCCAGGGCAAAAAGTGTGCATCACCATGCCTGACCCAACTCTTATTAACTATCAGTTCATAACGCTGATTCCACACAGGGCTGGGAGTAAGCTGGTCCTATAGATGAGCAGTTCAGAGCCAGTTTGATAATGCTCTTCCCGCTCTCTCCAAGGACCTCAGACTGAAGACTCAACAATCAATCCATCTGAAGACGTATTTGCTAAATAGTTTAGGAACATGCCCTCAATCATCACTGCACAAATGGGTATCTCTGTAACAACTTTACTAAAGAGGAAGAGGAGCAGCAGACCCCGCAGGTTCAAAGTCATACGAGGGGTCGAGGCCATGGAGTCCTGTTTACTAAGTTCCTGGACTTTGAAAGTAGGTCTATATCCAGGGATGCCGGCTTGGGAATGGACTCCCAAGTAGCCACATTTCTCTCTGCCCAACCTGCTCATCTATACAAATGCCGCTTCCCTAGACCACGATGCTTCCGGGTTGACATTTTGTCTTCTGCTTTCTCCAAACACCATTCAGCAATGGTCACGCCCCCCAACGATGATCATCATCCTTATTTTTGGTCCTCAGCTACCCACAGAACCTATTAGCTCTCATATGAGGGGAAAACAGTAAGACCGAAACACAGTAGAGTAAGAGTGAAGGAGGATGCTTCATTCCGTGGTTCACACTCTAACTTCCCGGAGCTGGACCCCAGGAGCGGCAGCCCTGCCCGGGCCTCCTGTCCAGCCGGGCGTCGCTTCTTATCAAAGCCGCTGGCAGTTGACTGTACGCTCTTCAGAGCCATCTTCGGGCCCCCAAACTGCTGCTCTCCTCCAGGGAGGGCAAACTCACCGCTACCGTTTTGCATAGAAAAAAAGCCTGATGGGCGGATCTCGGTGAGTTCGAGACCAGCCTGGTCTTCAAGAGCTAGTTCCAGGGCAGGCTCCAAAGCCAGAGAAACCCTGTCTCGAAAAAAAAAAAAAAAAAAAAAAAAGCCTGATGCCCAGCTGCAAAGGCACCACGTGGGGGAAAAGACAACGCCCAGGTCTTACTAAGCCCGGCCCCGCGGCGCCGCCCGACGGCCACCGCGCAGCCTGGCAGGGGCGGTCACTTACCTGCTCCGCCCCGGTCAGCTCCTCCAAGGCAACTCGGTCCCGGGTCCCGCCCTGGCCGCGGTCCGGGGCCAGAAGAGTCACGCTCTTACCCTCCCTCTTCCTCCCAGAGGCTTTGCCTGGGGTGCCGGCGTCCCGGAGGTGGGAAACGGTTGGGCGCCGGTAGGGGCTTCCCGCGCGCGGCGAGCTGCGTTCTACGCAGGCGCGAGGGTCCCGGTTTCCCGACAGCTTCCTCGTCCGCGCGACGGGCAGTGACGCGAGCCAGTAGAAAGGCTGGCTCCGCCCAGGTGTGGCTGCGACGACAGAGTGGCTTCCGGGGCAGTCACCGACATAGAAGATCCGGTTGCGGGAGCTCTGATTGGAGGGCGTGGGGGGTTACGCGCTCAACTGCGGAAGATTTGGCTGACGAGAGAGTGCTTCGCGGGCGCGTCTGGCTCTCTCCATCTCTGTTAGGCTGATTCTTTGTGAAGACTCGTGAAGCCTCACGGCTTGACGCCATCTAGGGAGACAGCAGCATGGCTGCAGTAAGGCTCTGGACTGAACCTAGCCCATAGGACACCCGCAGTATCGGAGCCCGAGTGGAAAGCTAAGTGAGAGAGTCCCGTGAAGTCCATGGAGCCAAGCGTCTTAGCTGATCGCCCTTTCTTAGGCAAAGCCATAGACATTGCAGATGTGCTTATACGAGAGAACCAGTTTCAGTCAAGAGAGAAGAATTGAGGGTAGGGCCGAGGTTGCGGGAGAGGCAGCTAGCGGTGGCAGTTGATTTTCTGTGCCTTGTAAGATGAGCCTCTCTGGCTCTGGCAGCTGTTCCTCCGCACGCACGTAAGGTTTGTTTGTTTGTTTTATTTTGGTTAATCTGGAGCCGTCCAGATACTTAGCGTCAGAATGGAACTATTTAGTGTAGGAACTTTGGAAACTGCTCAGGGTAACACAAAACTCGAAAAACTCATTTTCCCGAGACACGCGATTCTCTGCTTCTCCTGTCCCGCTGGGAGAGCCCTCTGGAAGGTTAATTGAAGTACTGCGTTTTGTTGGCAACCTCTCGGGTCCTTTTGTTCACGTTCCTGAGATAACTTGTTTATAGACTTGAGAAACCAGATAGACCACACCCTACTCCAGTCAAGTAGGTAAAAAGTTTGCTTTACGGAAAGAAGTAAGCGGGAGACTGAGTTTAGAGGATGAATCAAGTGTCTTCGGAGCAGACACCAAATTAGCTTTATAAACATGGCGGTAGGTAGTGATAGATCCTGATTTGAGTTTTATTCTTTCTGTAGCCCTTGAGTTTGGGGAGATTAGAGATACCTCTGTCTCCAGAGGACATACCAATGACACAGTTGAGGATGGATATCAGCCAAGGTTCTCTAGAGAAACAGAACTTACAAAATGAATGAATGACTCTCTCTCTCTCTTGTCCTTTCTCCCCCTCCATCTCAGCTCATACACTGTGGTCCAGCTGGGTGTCTCAGCTGGTTTTCAATGTATGCTGGAAGTAGGCTCTAATGCCAGTGAAGGAACGGACTTGTTAGCAAGGGTGAGAGCAAGCGGGCAAAGAGAAAGAACTTCCTTCTTCCATGTACTTTATATAGGCTGCTAGTAGAAAGTGTGGTGTAGTGGCATTTCATTTGTATTTTAATAAATAAAGCTTGCCGGAGGATCTGAAAAGTAAAACCACCACACTGGCCAGACCATGTAGCAGCGACACACACATTTAATTCTAATAGCCCCACTAGCTTGCCATAGAAACCTGGTGGTAGTGGTGCACACCTTAATCCCAGAACTAGAGAGGATTATAAAACGGAAGGAGGCAGCTCTAAGTCTCTTTCTGAGATTCCTGGAGGCAGGATCTCCATTTCCGACTGAGGTAGAGGTGAGAGCCAGTGTCTGGTTGTTTTGCTTTTCTGACCATCAGGTTGAACTCCAATTTCTGTCCTTAGTTTTTATTAACCATGCCCCAAGTGATCCAGAATAAAGGTGGATCATCCCACCTCAAAAGATAGAGGATTAAAGGTTTATTATCCCACCTCAGAAACCCAGATTAAAAGTGGGTCTTCCCACTTTAAATAATTTAATCAAGAAAAACAATCCTGAGCCAGGCGGTGGTGACTCACGTCTTTAATCCCAGCACTTGGGAGGCAGAGGCAGGCGGATCTCTGTGAGTTCGAGGCCAGCCTGGTCAGGGACAGGCACCAAAAAAGCTACAGAGAAACCTTGTCTCGAAAAACCAAAAAAAAAAAAAAA